GCTTTAACTAGAAATGTAGTGTAGAAGATAGACTTTAAATCTGATACTTAGGAATTGGGACTCTGGTGAGTAGGCAGCTGGGAGCCATTGTTGGTTTCTGAGCAGGAGTTGAAGGAGGCCCGCTTTGATGTAAGATTGCTGGGAATATGTGACTGCAGGCAGAGATCAAGTTAAGAGACCATTCAGAGTTTAAGGGTGAGGTACTTGAGGGCCTTAACTGCAAATGTAGCACAGAAAAGAACTCGGTAGTTAAGGTGGCTTGGAAAAGAAGAATCAACAGGATATAATGATCAAAAAAAATACAGGGAACCAAGGAAAGATGAGAGAGCTTTAAGTGTTTGAATGTGATGTATGACCTGGAGAATGCTGACACCATTAATAAGGTCAAAAGAAGACTGATTTAGGGAGAAAGTCATGCTTTAGTTATACAGCATTTGGAATGGTATGAAATATCACACTAAAAATATCCAGCAAGGAAGCAGGAAATGTGGGACTGAAATTTGAGAAGTTAGGACTAACTTGTCTTTGGCATAAAGATCATATTAAATTACATGAACATAGATGGAGTTTCCAAAGAGGCAGTATAGCAAGGATTGCAGTTCCAAGATCCAATCATGGAGGTCAACCACATTTAGAAGTCAGAAAAAAAATTCTTTAGTGAGTCTGGTGGTACAGCTCAGTGGTAGAGCACTTGCCTAGCATGCATGAGACCCTGGGTTCCATCCCCACCACAATTTAAAAAAAAAAAGCCTTTAGTGAAAGAGGTAGAGAAGGATAAGTATGTGCTATAATCTATACAAATTATAGTCAGCCAACTCCAAGACCAAAAAGTTTGAAAACTATTGTATGCTGCAGTGTTTCAACAACTCTTTGTATAGAGTCTGTTGAAGTAGTCTTCTCCAATGAACTGATGTTAACAGCTGGCTCACATAGCAATTCTGCCTAACCCCATCTTCCTCACACTTGCCAAAACATGCCTTATTTCCTTTTACCAGGGTTATATGAACCACTGACTGATCAAATGGGGCCAGATCATATTCCTACACAGCCCAGAAATAGCTACGCAGGATGAAAGATACATTGAATACATATCAGATTTTAACAGCCCATTTCTGTTTTTCAAATGAAGCCTCACAACTTTAGGGTTTTGTTTTTTTTGGCAGCACTGGAGTTTGAACTCAGGGCCTCATGCTTGCTAGGCAGGCACTGTACCATTTGAGCCACTCCGCCTGAGCCACTCCGCCAGCCTTCAACTTTAGGATTAATAAGTAATTTCCTAACTATCCATTAGCAGTACAGATAGATCCAGTTCCCAAACACAAACATATTTGGAACTACATAAACCTGGGGGATTGGAGAACACAGCTGCATGCCCTCCATGTGCTTGACTACAGCCCTGAAGAGGGCCATGACAAACCTGTCCCAGGAGCCTGCCTTACAGAGCACAGTATCTTCAATGTTCTGGGTTTTGCTTTTGGGGTGCTTCCATTCTAATAGGAGATCCTTAGCTGAGGGTGAACTTTAGGTCATCATCCTTCACCTGCTAGTAAGCTTCTGGAGGCCTTCCTTTAACAATCAAAAAGAAAACAGTTACAGTACTGGCAACAGTTCTTATTTTTTTTTTTATTCATATGTGCATACAATGTTCCGGTCATTTCTCCTCCCCCTCCTCCTGCCCCTCCTCCGACCCCTTCCTCTCCCCCCCACCCCCTTGATACCCAGCAGAGACTTATTTTGGCAACAAGTTCTTAAAAACCTCTAGGGAAGTCTTATAAAATCCCTGTTTAGTAAGATTAAAGGAAAGACAGCAATCCCAATCATCAAGCTGAGATGTTTATTCTCAGCAAGTAAAAACTGCATCCTTGCATTAGGGTTTTAGCACAATGATTCATCTCTACCCTGGCTTGCACAGAGAATCACTTGTGGCACATTTTAAAGTATAGGTCCTTTCCTACTGAATCAGGCTTTGAAGGTAGCTGAGTGGGTGGAGAGGGGCTTTGGTGGCTTTTATATGATTCTTCAGGTGACTATCTACCATATCCAGCACTAGTTCCTATAAGAAGGCAGTAAAACTCAGCAGCTTGTAGAATACCACCTTCCCTAAAAGCAAGCATGGCCCTTAAGGGATGACCTGGCAGCCAGGCTCTGAAGCCTGCTGAACTGGACAGCATCCAAGAACAAGGTTTAGTGTTTACACACTCACAGTCTGCCTGGGTTGTCACAGCAACTCACCCCAGCACTGTTCCTACCCTTCTTCCTTTTTGTGGCTTCCTTCCAGGCTTTGTCCTTCTGCTATGGTCTTAAATGTTCTTGGTAACCTGGCTTGCTGCATTCTTTTATTTTCCTCCCAATTCCTCCATCTTCTTGCCATGTTTGCTAGTGTGCAGTAATATCTCACCTGTGTAGGACAGAACATCCTGCATTCTCCCTAAGTACACCTGAATCAGGAGATAACAAACAGGGCCTTTGCGTGACCAGAACTGATGTTACTAGACTTATGTACTAAGTGAACAAGAAAGCTCCCAAGGCCCTGGCTCTTATCTTTTGATATCTTTTCTTACTCCTGTAAAACAAATACATGGTTTCTAAGGCCTGCAATAAGTTAGAAATAGGGAAAGGGACTATTCTTAACCAACTCAATGAAAGCCCAAGAAGTGACTATTGATCCCAGAATAGCAAGGAAAGGGACAGAAAAATTTTAAGAAGTGGATATAATCACTCAGAATTCAGGATACTGTAAGCCCCTTAGGATCAGAGCAAAGTTTCCCACACCTCAGAGATCAGAAAGCCATCATGACTCTACTCTGGAACAGCAGTGACCCAGATCACCAGGAAAATGTTAAACATATTCAATTCCAGGAGGCAAAGTAATGTGTTTTGAATTTTTAGGCATTCCACATGGATAAGGGTTTTAGTACTTAAAGAGATAAACTCTTAGCTAGCCAGAACCTGTTGCAGAGTGTTCTAGATAATTAGAATCTGGGCTGGGGGCATGGCTTACATGGTAGAGCACCTGTCTAGCAAGCACAAGGCCAATTTCAAACCCCAGTACTACCAAATAAATAATAAAAGTTAATTATAATCTACCCTATCTATCATATTGTTTTTATTCATTTTTACCCTTATTCCTTTAAAAAAAAAAGATTTCAGACATTGGGTCTTATTTTATGTACTTTCTAGTACCTAGCCTGGTTCTGAGCAATGCTTGCTGCTAACCTGGTGCTCTTTTCCTGCCAAATTTCTGCTCACATGAAATGTCAACTTGATCCTGTTTTTTTGCTCATACATCTGACTGTGAAAGAGTCATAGGTATCTTCCCTGTCCCTTGAGCTAGGAATACCATATTATATGATCTCAGCCAACTGGAAAAGAAAACATCACATGCCACCCCTCCTCCATTATGTGCTACATAAACAGAAGTAGGTATTTTTTAAACCCTGAATGAATGAATGAATGAATGAGCCAGTAATCCTCAGAATTTTTACAGAATTAACTACAGTTGATCCTGGAATGCCATAGGACTGAGCTACATGGGTCCTTATATGCAGATTTTTGAGGAAAAAAAAGAAAAAATTATGTCAGTGTAAAATGACATATGCAGATAATAGTCTATTTTTAGCATTTACTGCCATAAAGTGTACAGAAATCTATTATTAAATTTTAGGGGCTGGCGAGTAACTCAAATGGTAGAGCACCTGTCTAGCACAAGGCCTTGGGCTCAACCCCGAGTGCTGGGGGAAAAAAAAGTTAAAATTTAGGCCAGGTGTGATGGTGTTAACCTGTAATCTCATTGCTTCAGGCAGGAGGATCATGAATTCCAGGCCAGCCTGAGCTATATGGTGATTGCAAAACCCTTGTCAAATAAATAAATAATCTTTTACTCATTCATTTAACAAACAGAGCATTTTCTTTTTGTGTGACATTGTTCTAAGCATTAGAGTTAACCAAACTCAAACTCTTGCCAAACTACTATTTATAATTTATAATTTAAAAGCAAGAATTACAGCAGTTGTAAACCATGACCATGTCAAGGACGCTAATTCTGCAGTGACATGAGAGGTAATGTGTCCTTCCAAAAACACTGCAAGGAGACTGTTCTTCACACATGCACCAGTGCAGTAGGAATGTGGGCAAACATGTCAGCCACACTTCCTGATAGAACATTGAAGGTGAGTCTGCTATAAAACCACTGACTATGCTCATGTTAGTTTAGGAACACCGAGTGTATTGGCCCTTTTAAATTCAGTAAGAAACCCTTGGCCATGTGTAGTCAGTTCAGGGCCCTTGGACCATATTCTAAAACAGGGTTCGGAAGACATCTTTCCACTACACCTAAAGGGTTCTATAACCTCACTGATGCCCAGATCACAGAATATGAGGAGCATTTGTCTCCAAGCATCCTGTAATGGCTGTGTATGCAATCAGCAATCCCACTATATAGCCCAATATTCATTTGTAGTTATTCTCTTCAGAATCTGATAATACTATGCTAACAGGACAAAGTGTAAAATAAAATAGTGTTTCTAGGGCATAGTTGGACATCCTTGATCCCCTATATCTTCGCCTCCCCCTCCTCCAAGCAAGGTCTTACTGCATAGCCTAGGCTAACCTCAAACTCACAATCCTCCTTCCTCAGTCTCCCAAGTGCTGAGATTATAGGCATGTACCACCACCTCCAGCCCCTGTATTTTTTTTTCAATTCAATGAAAAGTAGTAGCAACAGTTAATAGGCTATAAACTACCCTATTAACTAGCCTAGTCCTAGAATCCAGTACTGTAGTATTGCCTCAATTAAAAAAAAATTACTGTTTTCAGTTCTTAATTTGTATTTACAAAAAAAAAACACTTGATTTTTGGGAATACTCCTGTTGTATTCTCTGTTGAAACCCATGTAATGTATGATTTTTTTTCCTCTGGGCTGAGTCTCATAAACTTCCAAAACAAGATTGGGATGGCACCAGGAATGAGTAACCCTCTTCTTATCTGTTCTTCCCATGTAGGTTACCCCTTGGCTCTGTTTTATCGGCATTATCTTTTCTACAAGGACAGCTACCTCATCCATCTCTTCCATGCTTTTACGGGCCTCTCAATTGCTTACTTTAACTTTGGTAAGTGAACTAGTTAACAGGGACACTGTGATTAGAAGAACCCTGGGAAGGATCAGACTTGAACAAAATTTCCTTGAGAAATTGATGGCCTGAGAAATTCTAATTTTCTGTTTGCAAAGGGAAGGTTAACAATGTATTGAACGATTAAAAATAATATATATTTGTATCAAAACATCACTTGGCAGTACCACCAAAAAAACCCATCACTTGGTACCCCATAAATATGTATAATTTTTACCTTTTTGGGGGGTGGTATATTTATTTTGGGGGGGGCAGTAATGGAGTTTGCACTCAGGGCCTTGTACTTGCCAGGCAGGTACTCTACTTCTTGAGTCATGCCACCAGTCCTAATTTTTACATTTTTATGTATCAGTTAAAAAATAAATTTAGGGGCTGGTAGAGAGTGGCTCAAGTGGTAGAATACTTGCCTAGCAAGCATAAGGCCCTAAGTTCAAACCCCAGTACAGCCAAAATAAATAAATAAATGAAATATAGGGCTGGGTGCATAGCTCCAGCAGTAGAGCACTTGCCTTGTATGTATGAGGTGCTGGGTTCAATCCCCAGTAGGGCAAAAAAAATTAGGAGCTGTATAGTTCAGTGATAGAGCATTTACCTATAGTGCTCAAAGCCCTGAGTTCTATCCTCAGCTCCATGGAAAAAAAATATAATATTTATATTTAAATAAATAATTTTAAGTAGATGAATAGCATTTTGAGAGTAGTTACCCTTATCAGACCCCATCAACAGAGAGGCATCAGTTTCTCTGTTCTGCTCTGGCTATAACTGAATGAGAGATCCAGGTGGTCCCCAGGCAGGATCATCCCTCAGTTCAGATATTCAGAAAAACAGTAACAACCTGACAATCCCTGTTTATGCAATTAATTTAAATCCCTTTCTCCAAAACATGAAATTATTCTGAAAAAAAAAAAAATTCAAAGTTTTTTCTTTGTATGTTCTTTTTGTGGTTGGAAGTCTCAGGAAGGGTGGGAGTATAAAAGACTGTACTAAATTCTGCTCTCTCCTCTGCATCCAGGATACCAGTTCTACCACTCCTTGCTATGTGTTGTGCTTCAGTTCCTCATCCTTCGACTGATGGGACGTACTGTCACTGCCGTCCTCACTACCTTTTGCTTCCAGATGGTAAACATCTTTCTCTTGGCACCTCAAATCATAGCTGACAGTAGGTGGGGGCCTGGAGAGGCAGGGAACAATGGTATAGAAAAACCAGTGACCTAGGAGACCTCACTTCTTATTCCTCCTCCCCATTTTGCAGTCTTGACTTTTGGCAGGTCACTCTTCACAGGCCCCCAGCATTTCATCTGCAGATTATAATGGTAACTCATTACTTCCTGGAGGAAGGGACCAGCTATTCCTTTACATAGGACTGTACCATTGGGGTTCATTAGTTTTCACCAGGATTAGCCCAGCTGACCATGAAGGAAGTCTCTTAAAGGCAAGGCAGAAACCAGTTTAGAATAAACTAAAGAAGCTAAGCATCTAAATTCTCCTGAGTTTAGCCCTCATTTCGCTAAGAAACTATGAGCAAGTCTCTCCCCATTGTAGACTTAATGCTCCATTTGTAACAACTTTTTTTTGAGACTGGGAATTGCTATGTAGCCCAGGCTGTCCTCAAACTTATATTCCTCCTGCCTTGGCCTCTCAAGTGCTGGGATTACAGACATGCATCATCACACCTAGTTTGTAGAAACTTCCAAAAGCTTTCAATGATAGAGCCAGAGGGAAGAAAAAATGAAATAATACGGGGGAATTTCAGAGCAAGGAGAAAATAAAGAACCCTGGCATGGTGGCACACACTTGGGAAACTGAGTCAGGAGAATGGAGAATTTAAAACCCTATCTCAAGAAAAAAACAAAAAAAGGCTGGCAGCATGCCCAAGCAGTAAGTGTTCCCCTGCCTAGCAAGCATGAGGCCTTAAATTCAAACTCCAGCACCATCAAAAAAGAGACAAGGAAGAAAAGAACATAGTAGTGATGGTAGAATAACGACCTCCCCTCTCCTAGGCCTACCTTCTTGCTGGATATTATTACACAGCCACTGGCAACTACGATATCAAGTGGACAATGCCACATTGTGTCCTGACATTGAAGCTGATTGGTGAGTGGTGGGGCACTACCTTTCTCATTTACAGCTGGGCCCTGCTCCCGTTTTACCAAAAACTTACTGGTGCTCTCCCTGGTACACTCCTGGCTGCACTCAGTCCACAGGCCACATTCTCACAGTGTCCTCTCCCTCTGCTCTATCTACGCCTTCTCTCTCTGCTCAGGTTTGGCTGTTGACTACTTTGACGGAGGGAAAGATCAGGTAAGTACCCATTCCTCTGCAGAGAGGTTAAGGATTAACCAGAGGGAAGGCTGTTGTTACCAAAACACTGGACCCAGAAACCAGGGTAGAGCCTTTGCCTCATTTCCCAGCCTGTGTGATATCCCTTTCAGATAGCACTAAGCAAGGATCAACAAATGTAACTTGCCCAGAATCCAGCTCTTGCACAAAGTCCAGAGATCAATGCCAGCAAGGCATTTGGCAAAGCAGCAACTTCCAACTGTTGCTAAGCTTCCCCACACATACTCATTTCCACATGAAGCAACTCTTTTCCATACCCCAGAGAATAGGCAGGTTGAAAAACCCCAGACAGTGGGGCACAAGGGTGGGGAACACTCAGATTGGCTCCGGGGGGGAGATTCAAGGCTATCCTGAACCATGCATTCTCTTCTTGGCATAGAATTCCTTGTCCTCTGAGCAACAGAAATATGCCATACGGGGTATCCCTTCCCTGCTGGAAGTTGCTGGTTTCTCCTACTTCTATGGGGCCTTCTTGGTAGGGCCCCAGTTCTCAATGAACCACTACATGAAGCTGGTGCAGGGACAGCTGACTGACATACAAGGGAAGATGCCAAACAGGTAATTCCCCTCCTGGACAAGACCTCTGCGTAGGTGTCTTACCCTACACATAGTCACTTCTGAGGTGACTTTCCTGGAGGCCAGCCCTAGTGCTTTCTCCAGCCTGGCCATAGTATACAGATCTGTCACACAGCCCTGGACTATCATATGGGTACTCTACCTGCTCACTGCCCAAGTTGGGCCCCCTTCAGCTTAGGTTACTTCTAGCCATTCATGCTGACCCTGTAGTACAAAGCTAAGAATTCATTTTTATGCCAAAGGATTTTGCCCAAACCAGTCATGCCCTCCCTTTAAAGCTTGTTCTCTTATTGGGGGGCGTCGGGGATGGAATCCAGCCATGGTGGTACACATCTGTAATCCCAACACTTGGGAAGGTGTGGCAGGAGGATCATGAATTGAAGGCCAGCCTGGGCTACACAGTGAGACTCTGCCTCAAAAAATTGTTAAATATACATTAAATAGAAAATGTAAGTTACAGAATTTCTCCCCTGAGAACTTGTCCAGCCTGAAGTTTCAGCATCAATTCAGCCAAGATAGGAAGGAGCAGATTCTAAATTGGTGGTTATTATTACCTACATGGAGTTTTCAGTCCCACCATAGATTAGCTCTGGGGAGATCCTGAACTCATTATCATCAAAGAGTTAAAACACTGCAAGACTCAAGACCCCCTTACACTCCTCTCCTCTGCCCTTACCTTCCTGTAACTTGCACAGGTTTGTAGGCACCCTTGCTCACAGCCAATCACACTGATCTCTTTCCCAACTTTGGGCAGCAGAGCTCATCATGCCATTCCAGGTGGTAGCCATGCCCTGAAACACTTCCTTAACTGAAGGTCGTAGAGTGAAGGGCTAAGCTCTGCCCTCTGTGACCCCATTTGTTCCTTTCCAGCACCATACCTGCTCTCAAACGCCTGAGTCTGGGCCTTGTCTACCTGGTGGGCTACACCCTGCTCAGCCCCCACATCACAGAAGACTATCTCCTCACTGAAGACTATGAAGTGAGTGGTTGCAGTGTGACTTCAAGCCATAGAAAAGGGACAGGCAGGGACCCTAGTAGATAGCAAAGTAGGCAATTCCATCTACAAACGTATCCTGGTTTTGCTGTAGATCTGAGTTGATGTCAGTGCCAGTCAAGCCAGGACACATTCATCAGCCTGCACTAGACAACCTTTGCAGGCACACAGCTGTGCCATGTGCACTTTCCCACGTTCTCTTGGAGCAGGTCTTTACTTGCTTTAGTAAGTCCAAGTAACTGACTTGGATAGTCCAGTCTGTTTTCTTCTCTCAACTGACAGACTAGGGGTTCTAAGTTCAGAAACCCAGGGAGAGAGAAATGCTGGCTTCTGCTGTGCCCAGCTAAAAAGCTTACAGTAGCAGTTCCATATCCATTCTGGATAGGTTTCTAAAAATTAACATGGAACATGGATATGTAAGGTCCCTGTGTACTTACTGTACACTCTACTTTGCAAAGGCAGGCAGACAATAGAAGAGTTCCAGAAGAGACAGTTCTGAGACAGAGCTGTCTCAGGGATTCTCCACGGAAAAGAAAGGATGGATGTTAGCAGGGCTCAGCTTGCTCCTCTTAGCCTATTATAAAGGTAGCTAGGGCCAGGCACCACTGGCTTGCACCTGTAATCCTAGTTACTCAGGAGGCAGAGATCAGGTGAACTGCGGTTAAAGCCATCCCGGGCAAATAGTTCATGAGACCCTATCTTGAAAAAGCCCATCACAAAAAAGGGCTGGTGGAGTGGCTCGAGGTGTAGGCCCTGAGTTCACACCCCAGTACCACAAAAAAATAAAGGTAGTTAGGCCAGTCCATCACGGGCACATCCAGCAGCAGGATTTGACAGAAGTCACCATCCACGAATTTGAAAAACACATTAAGGGGAACGGGCCTTGCCCGTGTGCTGTCCCTAACACACATGTGCTCTCTCCCATCTAAGAGCCGCCCTTTCTGGTTCCGCTGCATGTACATGCTGGTCTGGGGCAAGTTTGTGCTGTACAAATACGTCACCTGTTGGCTGGTCACAGTAAGTAGGAAATCAAAGTCATATTCAGATAAGCTGGGAGAGGGAGGAGAGGTGGGTGCTGATAGAGAGGAGAATAACAAGAACCCTGAGCTGTCCCTCCCTCTCAGGAAGGAGTGTGTATTTTGTCGGGGCTGGGCTTCAATGGCTTTGAAGAAAATGGAACAGCAAAGTGGGATGCCTGTGCCAACATGAAGGTGTGGCTCTTTGAAACAACCCCCCGCTTCAATGGCACCATAGCCTCTTTCAACATCAACACCAATGCCTGGGTGGCCCGGTAAGCATTTGAAGGGAGGCCTGGGCCTGAGTTCCTTGAACCCCTGCTTTCCCACATTTGAGGGACAATTTTGTCCATCTTCCTCACCTGGGTAGGATTTCCAGTCACTCCCTCATGTACTTTTGTCTGTACCTGTACCCCAAAGAAAACTCCATAAAAGCACCACCAGCCGAGGCTTCATAATCCCAGCTCTGCCACTGTGCTTATATTACCCCCTCAATATTGTTTATAACATCTTTGTTTACTTGTGTCTCCCACACTAGTGTGACAGCAGCTTGAGAATGACCTGTTCTTTTACTTCACTCTTGGTGGCAGGCACTCAGTCACTACTGAGACAAATAGGTGGCCCCTGTTCACCCAGCCAAACTTGGGGTCTGTTTTCTGTCTCTAAACCAAGACAGCCTTCTATCTCAAGCTAACCCATTAGCTCTGTGTCCCTTACCCCCAGGGCTACTCCACATCTCTGAGTGCCCAGAACCAAAGAGTTCTGGGAGAATGCAGGGAGCCAGTCTGAGGCTTATCTTTACCTACCTTCTTCCCTAGTTACTTCTTCAAACGTCTCAAGTTCCTTGGGAATAAAGAACTATCCCAGGGTCTCTCGTTGCTGTTCTTGGCCCTCTGGCATGGCCTACACTCAGGATACTTGGTGTGCTTCCAGATGGAATTCCTGATTGTTATTGTGGAAAAGCAGGTAAACCTCTCAAGTATGGTGGGTAAAAGGGGGAGAAGGGGAGAGAACACCCACAACCTCTCTTCTTTCTTCCCCAGGCTACCAACCTAATCCAAGAGAGCCCAACCCTGAGCAGGGTGGCTTCCATCACTGCCCTCCAGCCCTTCTACTACTTGGTGCAACAGACCATCCACTGGCTCTTCATGGGCTACTCAATGACTGCCTTCTGCCTCTTCACATGGGACAAATGGCTTAAGGTAATTGAAGAAAGCCTGCCAGTCACTGAAATCTACAGTAGCAAGGGATACCCCACACATCTCATTGGCCTTTGTCTCTCCACAGGTGTACAAATCCATCTATTTTCTTGGCCACGTCTTCTTCCTGAGCCTACTATTCATATTGCCTTATATTCACAAAGCAATGGTGCCAAGGAAAGAGAAGTTAAAAAAAATGGAATAATTTATTTCCCTGGTAAGTAAATATTCTACAGGTTATAGCCTATAAAGCCATAGAAACTTGGGGAGATTTCAAGGTAGCCTGGTTACTGGAGAACACAGTATGAGGCACTGACTAATATAACTTGCTAGGAGGAAACTGCGAGGGCCACAGACCAGGAACCAGATATGACTCCAGCCAGCCTTCCAACTGGACGCCTTGCCTTCCAGGTGGCCTACATACAGCAGGACTGGTGCAGAAACTACTTGTCTCCCTTTTCACAGCACTCCCTTACCCCACAGCACAGTGAACAGAGAAGCCAGGGAGCTGGAAGCTGCGGCACCCCCAGCTGTGCCTCTGCTGCCAAGTCTTCACCAGGCCAAAGGGGAAGCTCTTGTGGGAGGAGCAGAGGGGACACAACCCCTTTGTGCTCCCCCATGCACGTTGCCTTATCTCTCCCCTCTAGCCAGGAATCTGTTGTGTTCTTCTGCCAATCTATTACGATTGTATATGTGCCGATATCACCACCCCCCCCATGGGGGGGAGGGGAGGGTACAAGGCCCTGCCTGCTCCACTTTTTCTATCTTGGAACTGTACCAGATAAAATCACTTCTGTTTGTTCAGTTTTTCACTGCTAGCATCCCTGACTGCTTTCTTTCATACATGGCTCTTCTCTAGTTTACCATGGCTAAAATTACTAGCCTCCCTTAGAGCACAGGGATCTAGAAAATCAGGAGCCAAAACCTGCCTTCAAAGCCTGGAGCCAACCAGAACCACAAACTGATCTCACATCTGTCTCTGAAGTCTAAAGGAAACAATTTATACAACTAGGTACCACTAAATTTAGGAACCCCAAAAACAACCAGGTCTGAAAAAACATTTATAGGACAAAGAGCAAATGTACAGTATCAGCTTCTCTAGACTGCAGTCTCAGTGCAGGAAGGTCCTCTTTTGGCATTCAGCTCACAACAGACACAATGCAAACAGTCCTTTGTTTCAGAACTGGGTTCTGCTACTGTCAAATGACCCCCCATACTTCTTCAAAGGCTGTGGTAAGTTTGGCACAGGTGAGGGCAGCAGAAAGGGGGTAGTTGCTGATGGACACCATCTTCTCTGTGTACTCCACACTGACCTAAGGAGAGAATGGTCTGGTCAGCCAACAGTCACCCCAGAGTAGGTTCAGACCTTCTCCAAGGCAGGAAAAGTATGGCTGAACTAGTTATTTCAGCAGTGTTAATGATATCAAGTTTCTGAAAAAGATGCCCCCTGGACAAGAATGAAACCACCATTTGTTTCTAATTCTATTCCTACCCTCTATTTCCCATTTTATAAAAACAAGAATTGTTAAAATGCTAACTACTCTTGGAATTCTGTACTAAGTTTCAACTCTATGAAGAATCTAAGGGTTGAGCCCAGACTTTACCTTGCCATGGGCAAAGGCCCCCACCACAAAAACAATAGGGTCACTACTGGGCACCAACTCTCGAACATCACTGACGACTGAGATAGAAAAAGAAGTGCCAATTTTCATACAGCCAACTGGGAAGTGATCTGACACTGGATTCTTAATTACCTGAAGAAAAAAAAAAAGAGAGAGAACAATCAGGTCCTGAAACAGTCTTAGAACCCTACCTCCAACCAGTAGGTTTCATCACCTCACCTTCAAAAGCTTCTGGGGACCATCTGCTGCTCGAACACTGAGTTTGTGTAAAAGCTGAACTAGGAGGGGAAAAAAGAATTCAAAGGAATGTGATGACTATACTTCTTCTGCCCAGTGATCTAACCTGGAAACCCATAGGTAAGATGGATTCCATGTCCTTTACATCTAGACTTAAAATGGTGCAAACAACTGTCTAGCATATGAGATGGGTTCAGACTTTCCTTTCTTTACTCAGCCAGGAACCTACTAAAAGAACAGTAAAGCAGAATTTCCATGCATATTGAAAAATAACAGGGGTCTTTGTCCTCATCAATCATGTTATCCCTGTCCCTCAACTGAAGAATTCAACATTTAATTCATCCCTTTTCTTCTTCTCCCTTCTCCACTACTGCCAAGTTCATTCTGAATTTTGTTAAGTCTTAGGGCTTCTCACCCATGAGGCCACAAAAGCGGTCAAAGGTTCTGGGAATTCGAGTCTGAGGGTTCACTTCAATCAACACATTCTTCTGCGTGTGGATATAAACCTGCAGCAAGCCAGCTCTGTTCAGGGGACTGTCCATCAGCATCAGTAAGCTCTGAGGGAGGTAGAAACCAAGGTACAGAAAAGGCTAAATAAACTGCCTTACCTTCCATACAAAGGCACAAAGAGTTAGGGCTCTGTCCCTGGAGTTACCTGGTGGGCTATATCTGGTCTCACTTCCCCAGGGTCCCGTCCATTCTTCAGCAACACAGACTTATGTTTGTCACAGTTGAGCAGCTCATATGTCTTCCCTACCTGAAGAAGAGACCATGATGAGAGCAACATAAGTTTCTATTATCTAGCTCAGCAGTTCTCAAAGCATGGTTCCTGAACAAGCAGCAGCATCTGGAAACTTGTTCAACAGGAAAATTCTCAAGCCTGCTGTAACTCTAAGTCAGAAACTCTGGGGGTGAAGGTATTACTGGTCCTCAAACATACACACACCAAGTAACTGATCTTATGAGGGGAGAAGGGCACAACCTGTAACAATGGCAAGAGTTAGATCGGTATGTTTGCCACAGGAGCAATACTTGTGTACTGGGTAAAATACACATATTTGCTACTCTCAGTCTGCTTAAGACAATCATGCACAAAGTGAAGAGCTGCAAATGTGAACAGGATAGTAAAAATTCTAATGATGCAGGAGGTTGTTTTATCAAAAGACTGGCATGAGAGCCAGGCATGGTGGTGCAAGCCTGTAATCACAGCATTTGGAAGGCTAAGGCAGGAGGATTCCAAGTTTAAGGCCAGCCTGGGCTGCACAGCAAGACACTGTTTCAAAAAACAAAAACGAAAGGCTGACATGAGTAAAGAACCAAGAAAAAGTAGATGGGTTGGAGATGATGGGTTGGAGATGTGGCTCTGTGGTAAAGCACGTTCTTAGTGTGCATGAGGCTATGTATTAACATCTCCAGTAAAAGTCTCAGAACACTCTGTTAAGTACATATTTATGGAGATGTGGCTCAAGAGATGAGTGCCTGCCTAACAAACACAATGTCCTGAGTTCAAACCCCAGTACTTCCACAAAAAGAAAGCTACTTCATATATCACTACAATGTTTTTATATGTCTAGCAACATCTAATAATACATGACTTCAAAAAGTTTGAATGAAAGAATATAGGTTTTGAAATTAACTGAATAACTGAAACATGAAGAATGTCACAGGGAAAAGGACCAAGAACTAAATCCATGGGACACCCTTAGATATAGAAGGAAAAAAATTCTTGAATAGAATAACCCAGTTTCAACCCATTAGTAGGATAAAACCAGGTTTTTATTCTTTTAATTAAACAGAACAGAAAACATCAAAGTACTTCATATATAGTAATGGCAAATAATGGTTTATGAAACTTCTGATTTCCTATAGTTGAATGAACACAGTGGCTCACAATGTAACTTTTCTGTGGGTTGAAAGTCTTGCAAACCACAAACTAGAATAACCAGAATGAGTACTACCTACCAAGACTAAAAGGTATTGAAGATACAGGAATGAAATTTTTTAAATCTTATTCTCTGCCCTCAGAGAATCAAGCAGTAAATAATACATAATTTACTTCAAACTATGATAAACATTGTAAGGGAAAGTAAATGGTTCATTAAGGGATTATTAACAGATTTATAACAAGGGAGTCCATTCCACTGTCACTCCTCTATGTTTCTATCCACCTTGAATACTGTCCAGACCAGACCATCATTTAATAATGTCTATATCTTTTACCTATCATTCATCTTTTTCCCCAAATGTAATAAAAACCAGCAACTCCCTAGTCTAACCTAAAATAGCTCAAGAATGAGCAGCACCACAGCAATTCAATAATTACATGGATGTGGTGGCACACACCTGTAATCCCAGCACTCAGAAGGCTGAAGCAGGAAGAGAGTTTCAGGCCAACCTGGGCTACAGAGCAAGACATTGTTGAAAAAATACATAAATGAATAAAGGATAGGCATAGCTCAAGGGGTAGAGGTCCTGAGTTCAAAACTCAGTGTCAAGCCGGGCACTGGTGGCTCACGCAGGTAATCCTAAATACTTAGGAAGCAGAGATCAGGAAGATCACGGTTCGAAGCCAGACTGGGCAAAGAGTTCACAAGACCCTATCTCAAAAAAACTCTTCACAAAAAAGGACTGGTTGAGTGGCTTAAGGTGTAGGCCGAGTTCAGGCCCCAGTACCACCAAAAAAACCAACTCAGTATCCACAAAAATGAGTGAATGGTAATGAACAGAGCCAAAGAGCTGAGTAAGGGATCCTGTAATTAAAAAACAACATATTCAACAGCCTTAGAGCATACTTAGTGCTTTCTAGGAACTTATAGGAGGCCAGAGTATAGGAACAAATGGAACTGGAGATAAGGCTCAAGAGAGAAAGTACCTACCTGGCAAGTGCAAAGCCCTGAGTCCAAACTCCAGCACCACCACCAAAAAAAAAAAAAAAAAAAAAAAAAAAAAGGCATCTATGAAGAATGTGCTCTAGTAATTTTTTTTTTTTTGGTGGTACTGGGGTTTGAACTCAGAGCCTCCGTACTTGTTAAACAGGCACTCTACTACTTGGGCCACTCTGCCAGCCCACTTTTCAACTTCTTAATAAATAATCTAGAATAAATAATATCAACAAGTCCCAGACATTATGCTAAACACCTTATACATATTAACTTTTTTAATTCTCCCCACCACTATTCTCCCTGTAAAATATATGAAGCAACTAAGAAGGGATTTGTCTAAAGCCACACAACTAGTGGGTAGAAGGATGTGAACCTAGGAAGTTCAGTGCAAGTCTACATTCTCAGGCACTGCAGACACAGGTAAGCTTTCCACATGTGCAAATTAGAGTCATATGGGACAGCGCATGTGACAGATGTCAAAATTAGCATCCAGAGCCAGGCACCAGTGGCTGATGCCTGTAATCCCCAACTCCTCACAGAGCAGCAATCAGGAGGATCCCAGTTCAAAGCCAGCCTGGGCAAATAGTTCGCAAGACCCTATCTTGGAAAACCCTTCCCAAAAATAGAGCTGGTGGAGTGACTCAAGGTGAAGGCCCTGAGTCCTGAGTTCAAGCCCCAGTACTGGGTTGGGGGGGGTGGAACTTTCTTAAAATAACACACTTAAAAGTGTTAGGAACTAGGATTAAAATTCAGGTCTGGTGGGTGTGGTAGCACACAAATTATTCCTGACACTGAGTAGGCTGACACTTGAGGATAAAGAGCACAGGCCATGCTGGGCGCTGGTGGCTCATGCCTACAGTACTAGCTACTTGGGAGGCCAACATTGGGAGGATCGTGATTCGAGGCCAACCCAGTAAAATAGTTCCCAAGGCCCCATCTCCAAAAAACCCACAGCAAAATGGACTGGAGGTGTGGCTTAAGTGACATAAAACCTGCTTTGCAAGGTGAAGCCCTGAGTTCAAACCTTAGTCCCACCCAAAAAACCAAAAGAAAAAACAAACGACATCAGGTCAGCCTGGGCTGAATGAAAATCCTGTCTCAAAAAAAAAAAAAAAATCCATTCTAACTTCTAAACTTCCATGCCTACTCACTAAATGGTTTGGCTATAAAGGATAAAGTCGTAAGTAATAGTAACACTGCACAGATTTTAAGACAGAAAATTGCTGGTTTTGATACACTCTAGGAAAAGAATAATAGAAATAAACATGTAGACGTATTGTTTCCAACAGGACCTAACTATGGAGATGGGTTACAGGTGATAATCCTTTAACTGAATGAAGCATCCAGTCCTTAGTAATATAAGACTGGGTGGGCAAGCTAGGCTAGGGTAACTACCTTTCTCGTTAGCCTTTGGGATGTGGGAGGCCGCTATAGACACTCCCCTCACAGTACACGAGGAATTCTGGTAAAGTAACTGGAAGCAAGGAGGCAAGAGCTGAAATAGGAGTCAAGAAGGGCAAAAGAAAATGAGCACTGCAACCTGAGATGTCAAACCAAGAGACAGCTTCCTCCCAAAAGCATCTGTCACCTCTCGGCTTTCTCCACACTTTGTGCCCCTCACTCCCAAGGTCACTTTGAGGCCTATATTTCCATACACCCATCCCACGAAGTCCTCTCCCACCAATCTTAAGTTCCACACTTCCTGTTCCAAACTACCTTGACTGTCTCCAGACTGGCCCCTTCCAGCACCACAATGAGCCTACGGCCTCCGCTCTTGCTTCCTGCCCCAAGTCGGGGCCTCTTTGGAGCCACGGCATCCTGGTCCAGTTCCTGCTCCCCAAAACGCCGCTCACGAGGTTGGAACGCACCACTGGGCGCAGACATCTTGTAGCCAGACCGGAAACGCGCTGACGTCCTTAAATTAAAACCTAGTGCTCGTCCTATTCACACACTTCCTTCCGGCTGCCATTTTGGAAATGGGCGCTTGGAAATGGCGATGGCTTGCAGTCTTGCGCTACCGAAGCCTCCCTGTGAGGGCATGGTTCCTGAAAGGGGCGGGACTTCCGGATACGCAATTCCTGTGCGCGAAGTTTAGGTCCGCGGTGGACAAGAGGGGAGGGTTTAGAACAGAGCACACTTCCTGTGCCCTTTCTCCCGCGAGCCCTGTAGTCTCCAACCCTCGTGTGCAGGCTGTGCTCTCTAAATTGGAGTGGGGTAGAAGCGGGCAGGTACCCCCCTCCTGATCTCTGGTGTCGCCGCCTTCAGGAGGATCAGACATGGCCCAGAACTTGAAGGACTTAGCGGGACGCCTGCCCGCCGGGCCCCGGGGCATGGGCACCGCGCTGAAGCTACTGCTGGGGGCTGGCGCCGTGGCCTACGGCGTCCGCGAATCTGTGTTCACGGGTGAGCAATCTCCGTAGCTCGCCAGACTCCCGGTCCCCAGACCCCTTGCCGTCTTGGAAGGTGTCCGCGCTTACCTAGCCCCCCACCCCACCCCATCTCTCTCTCCACAGTGGAAGGCGGGCACAGGGCCATTTTTTTTAATCGGATCGGTGGCGTGCAGCAGGACACCATCCTGGCAGAGGGCCTTCACTTCAGGTAATGGCGGGCAGAGCCTACTGACCCTGTCCTTTCACCCTTGACGACCCGCCGATGGCTTTAACCCGACATAGAGGCGCATTCCGCGCTCTTCTTTCCCTTCCTCATCCCCGTTCCTAGGACAGTAGGTGGGCTGGGATGTAGCTCGGTGGTACAGCGCTTGCCTAGCATGCGTGAGGCCCTGGGTTCGATCCCAGCACCAAAAAAGAAAAGACAAAAAAAAAAACAAACCTCTCCCCCCTAGGACAGTAGGTGCTGCCGAAACTCCAACAGCACGTAATTAAAGTGCTTTTCTCCGAAGGAAGGGAGAAATCTTCTTGTCTGTGGTCATTAGAGGGAAAAGCAGGCCAAAAAAGTGATAGAGACACCAGGCAAAGTCAATGAGACTGCTGTTTCCCATTTACTATCCCTGCCCTCTTCCCTCCAGGATCCCCTGGTTCCAGTACCCCATCATCTATGACATTCGGGCCAGACCCCGAAAAATCTCCTCCCCCACAGGCTCCAAAGGTAAGTTGTGGGCAGTTGGGAGTAGCATAGCAGACAGGAAACCTAAAGTAAACAAGGAAGCCTGGCAAGAATGGGTAGTGAGAGGTAGTGAGAGGTTTTCTTAGATATTGGTTTCTACTTGTGCTAAACCGCGTGCCTCCTAGGGTACATTCCAGCACACTGTGTTAGCACTTTTTTATTAACAGTTCCCTTCCCTAGTGTAAACTGGGTGAGAGCGTTGCTTGTTCTTTTTTGTCTTAATCACTGCCTAGATCAAAGCCTTGTTTTAGAACAGTTTTTTTTCCTTGTTTGACTTGTTAATTACATTCACTAGTATATCCTGTCCTGAAGAAATCTGTTCTCTCCACTGGTTCTCTCCTTATGGACCATACTTAAAAGCCATGCCTTTGAGATTCCCCAGATCCCTGCCTCATTCACACACAGGTGTACACTGAGACAAGGAGCTTAGAGTGATCTATTTTTAGTGTGTCAACTCTCATGACAATCACTTTGTCATTAACAGTCTTATAAAAGATTCATAAAAGACAATCCCTGTTCTCAAGTCTTTATAGTCTAGTGGAAAGATGTGATTGTGATACTGACAGTCTACATTAGAGGTTGCACAAAGGCAGGTGGCAAAAGTAGGAATCATTCCTACTAGTAGAGCGGTTGTAGATGAAGAAGATTGCAGAGTGGGCAAGCATTTTGCCTGCATTGTGTCACATCTTCCTCATCAACCCTATTGTCTCCTCCCCCGCCAGGGAAGTGCTAAGCTATACAGCATTGCTAGTTATAGAGGAGAAGATGCTTGGGATGGGGGAATCTGACCTGGACCAGCCATTGCTGACCTCTCCCTCAGACCTGCAGATGGTGAACATCTCCCTGCGTGTGCTGTCTCGACCCAATGCCCAGGAGCTCCCCAGCATGTACCAACGCCTAGGGCTAGACTATGAGGAGCGAGTGTTGCCGTCCATTGTCAACGAGGTGCTCAAGAGTGTGGTGGCCAAGTTCAATGCCTCACAGCTGATCACCCAGCGGGCCCAGGTCTGACTCCCATCACCATTTGCATGGTGGCAGCATTTCCCCTGAGGACCAGGATACTAGATCTTATGAAAGGCAACTTAGCAGGAAAGAGTTCTAGCTCTAGTTCCATTTCCACGTAAAAGCTATACTGGTTGCCACTGTGAGAGAAGCAGCAGCACTGGAACTTGATAGCTATCAATGTTAGGAAGGAAACACTGGAAAAAATGGCAAAATGCAGACTTTTCCTGCGCCCCTTTCTACAAAGCCTATGTCACAGATTTGCCTGATAAAAAGCTAAGGAGAGGAGAGGGAAAAAAAAAGAAAAGAAAGCAAGAAAACTAAGGAGATGCATATTGCATTGGAGAGAGTGGAGGATTAGGAGTCAGTGTGACCTGCCTCTCTCTGCTCCATCTTAACCTAACTTATCACTGTGTCCTTCCAACACAGTTCTTCTAGTAAAGAAGAGCTGAGAAAGGATTGGTGACTTCCCTGCCATTCTCAGGAGATCTGTTATTCAGATGATCGCAACAATGCAACCTTCCTTCCAGTTCTCCAGTCCTCTCAAACCCCCTCTCTTCCCCTCCCCACCCCTCCCTCCAGGTGTCCCTATTGATCCGAAGGGAGCTGACAGAGCGGGCCAAGGATTTCAGCCTCATCTTGGACGATGTAGCCATCACAGAACTGAGTTTTAGCCGAGAGTACACAGCTGCTGTAGAGGCCAAACAAGTGGGTGAGTCACAAAAGGAAAAGGCAAGGACTTCTGGAAACAGGAAGAGACAAATCCATCCATGGTTGGGGTTCCTGTCACCTCACATCCATGACCCCCTGACTGTCTCCCACCACAGCCCAACAAGAGGCCCAGCGGGCCCAATTCTTGGTGGAAAAAGCAAAGCAGGAACAGCGGCAGAAGATTGTGCAGGCTGAGGGAGAAGCTGAAGCCGCCAAGATGATATCCTTCCATTAGCGATGGCTTGGCCCAGCCTCTAGGGCACTGTGCTTCCCGTCCTCCCTCATGGGCAGACTGATGAGTCTAAGGCGAATGTGACTCTATGCCCTCTGACATTTGGCTCCTGGGGCAGGGCTGGGGGAGAGAGCACAGATGGAATCTGAAATCTTGGTGGGGATACCTGAGTCCTGGTTTCCTGCTGTAAGGCCAGATTAATAGCACCACTGGCCTTGCCCGCATGTGTGCTGCAGCCCCAGTTGTTGGCCGTAGCCTGCAGGGAGGCCCACAGATGGGGTCAAAGTGAGGGGGGGCACAAGCCATGTGAGCACAACCTTGGATCTGACAGCCCAGGGAGGACTGAGTGAGGGATTGGGGTAAGGATTGAGACCTGGCCTTGTGTGGACCTTTAACCCTGGCCTGCTCACCTTGGGGAAGCACTGAGCAAGAATCCTGGCTACATCAAGCTTCGTAAGATCCGGGCTGCCCAGAACATCTCCAAGACGGTGAGTGTGACAGGGCTGCCTGGAGAATGAAAGTTGCAGTTACACACTGTCAAGCGAGGGAATTGGGGTATTGCTTTCTTGGGCTTGTATCAACTGGCCTCTCTGGTACTCTTCCCCCTTTGAGAGTGCATCATAGTTGCTCAGGGCTCTGGATCCTTGAATGAAAGCCAGAAACATGTTACTCATTGCTATATCCCAAGCTGTACATATTCCATTGAGTGGCTATGGAATAGCACTTTACTAACGCAAGTGTCTGTTTTACCTGCCCTGTAGATTGCCACATCACAGAACCGTATCTATCTCACGGCCGACAACCTTGTGCTGAACCTACAGGATGAAAGTTTTACCCGGTGAGATATGGCTGCACAGGGGGTTGTCAAAGAATTTGAGATTTGGATTGGTCACTTGGGTTGTGGAGCCTATCACAGCTACTCATATCCCCCTTTTCTGACCAAAGTTAGAAAAGTGGGTAGCTAACAGTTCCTTTCTTAATCCCCTAGGATTGATTTTATAAGGTCAAACAGAGTTATTCACGTAAAAAACACTTTAATTGTAAATAATTATCTAACTAAAAAGTGATGAATGGTACTTAGTATTCTCACTCAAGAATCTTCACACTGGTGCTCTGGTGCGTGGAAATATTTTAGGAAAGGAGAGAACTGAAATAGCAATAGCCAAGAGACCAAGTCTCCTTCCAGAGCCTGAAGTTCCTGACCTGTCATCTTCTCTTGGGAGCAGAGGAGGGTTTAGTGTGGTTAGGACCTGGACCTGTCAATTCACCTGTATTTTTCCCTTTTCTTCCTGTGTCTCCTGTTTACTCGTGACCTGGTGTCCACAGGGGGAGGTAAGTTATAATTGCATCCTTGTTGATATGGGGTCTGTAGGTCATCTCCCAGTTAATCTGCTTTCTCCCCCACCACTTTTCTTTCTTACCTCCCCACAGACAGACCCTCAACTGGGAGAAGGGGATGCCCTGGGGCACTGTGCATCTCACATTTATGTCCTCAGTACCATTGATTCATCTTTTTTTCCCACAGTGACAGCCTCATCAAGGGTAAGAAATGAGCCTGGTCACCAAGAACTCCCAAGAGAGGAAGTGAATGTTTCTCCTCCAGTTTTTGAGGAGCCAACTAGGGATCCGGCACACCCCACCCCAGCCCCACTGTCATGTGATGGTTCCCTCTACACCTGTCCTCCTGAGCCCTCTTGGATTTAGGAAGACTGAAGACTAACCCTTTTGGGGGGATGACTTTTCCCCTCCCTGTGTTGGCCAGGGGGTTTAGGACAGTGTGATTTCTCGTTGATTACCTACAGTGATGTTCCCTCCCTCAAAGTGGGAGGAGTTAACCACCATCCCAGGAATTGTCAATAAATTTTTATTCAGCATCTGAGTGGGTTGTTTGGGAGGCGTGGTCACGCATGCGCGCCAGGTCTCCTTAAGTCTGCCAGCAGAGGGCGCAAGGAATCTGGTCTGGGCTGCTGAGGAGCGTGGCCGAGCCCTGTTGGTTCTCCAAGCCCAATGCTGGGCTTCAAAACAAGACCTCAGCTGGAACAGCAGGCCTCAGATCCAGAGGCCCAGCTGCATCCCTCACCCCACCCCTCTTTACCAACATCTCCTTTTTTAAGGCTATAGCAGCTGTGGCTTTGCTGAGCTAGACTAAAAATCTGATGACCCCAACAGGGCTGCTTCCCTGGCAACAGGTTTCTGTGGAGCCTCAGGGAGATTTCTCGAGCCAGCTGAGGGACTTCGGTATTCCAAGGCCCAGTGGGTCAAGTTGCCTGCTGTTGCCCAGCTGTACTTTATTTTCTAGTCACCAGGTGTAAGGAGCATTATGCACAGAGGGCTCTCCCTACAGAGGTGGGCTTCTCCCCACAGGGTAAGAGCCTGTTTTCAGTCCAGAGGTAAGCTGCCTCAACCTCAACAAAAGACGGCTGTCACTAAGTCTTATGCACCAGGAAGGTTTAACCATTGCTAATAACCTGAACCCACTATAGCCACTTTCCCCCTCATTCTTTTGGGAAGACGTGGAACCATAGACACAGGGATACAAAATGCAAGTAGGGAGGAGGTGACTCTTAACAGGGCTGTAGGGTACAGTAGTCTTCTGGCTTAGGTTTTGGAGGGAAATATTCTCTATGGGTTGAATGTCAGGGAAAGGGTCATAAAGCAGGTGTGGCAGCCGCTCTCCTAAGTTTAGAGGAGCTTAAGGTGAGATTGTCAGTTAGACAAAAGACAGATCAAGGGACCTGGTTCAGTCTTTCACACGTCCTCATTCACACTTTATTTGGGAAGACAGAGATCTGGTGTTTCCAAATCTTGGCTGCTTGCTCTGGAGGCAGCCATTTTGTCTCCTTCCCATTGTTCCTCTCTCTAGCCATTCATCCCCACCCCACCCCCGCACCCCCCTCCACTCAGAGGGGTAAAGGTCAGAGATTGTTGGTCAGGAGGCCTCCATGGTCTTCAGGATTCCCTGAAGGTCAATGCTGAGGAAACCAACCCGGGGGCCATCTTTACCAGACAGTGTTAGGAGCTTACACTTAGACATCCAACACTGCCCTGGAAGATGGACCCAGAGCCGGCCAACATGGAACTCCAGGCCACAACTGACCAATTCCTACAGGGACCCTGGCCATGGGCTGGCTGTGGTATCTTGAGAGTATGAGCCAATCCCAAGCTCAAGGTCAGCTGTGGATTCTGGATACACCAGATGACAAATCACACTTGTTTGGAGGAGGGACTAGGTGCCATTGTGTTCCTTCAGTGGGCAGCTGGCCAACTGAGAGCCATCTCTTCCCGCAGCACCCCCAGCTCACGACAAGGGGTTTCTAGGATGTGTGAGGAGGCATGGGGGGGGTATGAGCAGAGGTGAGCCAGCAGCAAGGGACTGGGGTCCTGAGGCGATGGATGACGCTGACAAGGGACAGGGGCCTCCATCATTACCCGGCAGTATTAGAGACTCCCAACCAGCACCCAAACACTGCTGGGTAAGACGAGGGCCCCCACCCAACCTGCCCACCTCCAGGTCCAGGCCCAGGCTCCCTTCTCCAAAGAAACTCCCATCCCCCACCATCAGTGTCCCTGGGGACACTTCCGGGTAGCTCTGATGCCCACCACCAGCCCCACCCTGAGTCACCAATTGGCAAAACCAAATGGAGTTTCAGCACACCCTCACCCCTCTGCTTTCCACCCCTGAGCTCTTCCTCTACAATACCCACAAACTGTTTCTGCCCCCAACACACACCGACCAATTTGCCGGCCTTCATCCCTCCCCCGCCTACAGTTCCTACTCAGCCCCACGACCCCTTGCTCAGTGGGGTTTACCTGTCACCAGGCCCTCCTGGCCCCCAGAGGGTGTGTGCCGAGGAGAGGAAGGGGCGTCAAGGCCCTGACTCAACAGGCTAGAGCCCGCCCTGGCCTCCACTCTTCCTCCTTCCTTCTCCTCCTGCCCAGCAACACTGGCGCCTCACCTGGGCTCCGCCCGCCCGCCGCCCTGCGCACAGGTGTGTCCTCCTGCCATAGGCTGCCCCCCTCACCGCCTTAACCCCTTCCCTCCCACTGCCAGCCCTGGGCACCTTCTCTGAGGTCTGGCCATCCCACAAGGCCCCCCACTCTTTCCTGGTGGCCTGGCCTACCTGCCTATTTTTTTGAGGCCTATTTTTCCTGTCTCCAGAGGAACAAAGGGAGAGGCCAGCCTTGGGTTCCCTCTGCGGCTCCTACCCCCAGGCCTAGTCAGGTCCTCTGAGGCCTCCCACCCTATCCACAGCCAGAGCTGGAGGGTTAGTCCGAGGTCAGCAAGGGTTTTCAGCAGGTGTCTTCAGGCTGTGCTGGGCAATCCCTGAGACCTGGAGAATGTGGAGGCCCCATCAGACCTGCGGAGGGCAGGCAAGTCCCAGCAGAGAGCCTCCAGGTCCTCACCCCTGGTGTCCTGAGACCCCCATCTCCAACCTTTAATGAAATCAGGGACCTGTTCTCCAGCCTCAAAGTTCCGGCCAAGAGCCAGGAGCAACAGAGCTTCCCAACCCACTTCTCAGCGCCGCCCTCCTGGATCCAAGTCCCAACCTAAGGGCGGTTAGCCGAGGCAGTTAGAGGGTGGGACCTGCCTTTCTTCTGTGCTGCTCAGGCGTTGCTTGGAGAGGGGCCCTGAGGCGACAGGTGACAGCCCCACCCACCTACCCCCTGGAGGGCCACTGCTCCAGGGAGCTATTGTGTCGTTCAACCCCTGAGCCTTCCTTCCCCTGACTCTTTGTTTGCGTCCTTCTCCAAACCTGCCTGTAATTTGTTTGTGGACTATTTCTGCCTCTGTCACCCTGATAGGATCCTAAATTACAGGAGGACAGGAACCGATTTGCCACCCTCAACCCCCAGCACTAGGCTGGCACCTGAGACAGGGTAGGCATTCACGTTTTACATAAAAGACACTCACTCTGGACACAGGGAAAGGAAAGGGGGACATAACAATAAAACAATCTTGGGGGTCAGACTTCCCTAAAGGATGAGGGAGTGCCAGGACATGGCAGTTTCAGTGGGAGAGGGACTGGGTGTTATGTACCATGGGAGTCCATGTCCCCTCTTGGCCCAAATGAGGGGAGCTGGTGCTAGCTCTGGGCTTCCTAGCTCCTCCTAAAAATCTTCCTAGTCCTTGAATCTAGAAGAGATCAGCAGAATATATGGTATGCCCTCTGCATCTCTAGGGTAAGGTTCCGGGGCCAGATGGCCTGGGTTAAAATATTGGCTTTGGTCTTCAGCAAGTTTTTTATGAGAATGACAAAGGTTTCTAGATTGAGGGCTGGGAATATAACTTGGTGGTGGGGCATCTGCCTAGCACGCTGGAGGCCCTGGGTTCCATCCCCAGTACTGTAAAAAATAAAATGAAATATAATGTATCTAGAATTAATTAATCCTGTAATCTCTTAAACATTGCCTGGGCACATGACCCGTAATATGTTATTGTTGTCACTGTGATCATCACCCACTGTCTCAATAATCTTCACTACCACCCTTGATGAATTAGGCTCACCCTCTATTTAATAAAGGGGGGGGCTGGGGATATAGTTCAGTGGTGGGGTATTCGCCTAGCACTTGAATTACAGCATCATTGAAAAAAGAAGAAAAAGAAGAAGCTAAGCACCAGTGGCTCATGCCTATCAATCCTAGTTACTCAGGAGGCAGAGAGCAGGAGGATCATGGTTTGAAGCCAGCCCTGGTCAAATAGTTCATGAGACCCTATCTCTACAAAAACCCATCACAGAAAAGGGCTGGCAGAGTGGTTCAAGGTATAGGCCCTGAGTTCAAACACCAGTACTGCAAAAAAAAAAAAAAAGAAACTGAGGGTCCCTACCCACTGTCACCTGCCTTTGTGAAGCAGCAGCATCCAGAATCAGGTCTATCTACTGAGCTTTTGTGCAGCCTACATGGCATCTCAGGCCCCTCCACCCTCTAGTCACTGGCACACTCAGAGTTGGAGTAAGACACAAGGAGTTGGAGGCGACACACCAAAGCGGTCCAGGGGCTTTATTTACAAGAACTGAAAGGCCTAGTTGGGCCTGGGGCCTTGCTGAGCTATATACAGGTTCAGAGCACACGGCCATTTAAATTACAACAGGACGGGGGAGGCTCCTAGGTCCTGGGATCGATCATGGGTCTGGTAGGTCCACTGGAGGCCTCTGCAGAGATCAGGACTGAGGCTGCAGAGAAAAGAGAGGAGCTGGTCAGAGGGTGGCTGGAACCTGGGGAGGGGAAGCAGAAAGAAGGTCTGGAAACATCAGGGTAAGGCTATAGCCACCCCATGCATCCTCTGAGGCAGAGGACGCTGGGAGCAGGGCAAGGAGAAGACCTTGTACAAAGGACCGCACCATGGCCACCTGAGGATGGTGCCCAGCTCACTTCCTCTTGAGGGAACCCTTGCTCTTCTCCTTGTCTGCCGACCGCTGCTTCTTCACTTTCTCCTCCTTCTTGTTCTTACTGTGCAGGTTCTCGTATACATCTTCCTTGTGTCTGGAGGGGAGGCAGGCAGTGTGGGCAGCTGGGGCAAGTCAGGAGACTGTGCAGGGTAACCCAGCACCAACAGCTTCTCCAGACCATCCCCTCTCATAAGTTAAAAGGCCAGGAAAGTTAGGCAATCCACCCTACACCAACCCAAATCACTGGGAGAGAGGGAAGAGCAAAGGTGTCTCATACATTGGTCCACTACTTCTACCTACCACACATGGTAGGAGATCAAGAAATACTTATAAACAGAGTTAGTGAAAACTGAGCTTGAATTTGAACCCAGGTCTCCCCAGTTGCAACAATTGTCCTCTTCAGAAGGGGATGGCCGGGCTGAGTAGGAGAAGCCGGGAGAAACTGAGAGGCGGAAGCAGGGGTCACTCACTTGGAGGAGGTTCGGGAGGCCTTTGCATGGGCACTCTTAATGGCGGGGGGATAGGTGATGTTCCCGTACTCCGACTCCTGGCCCTTCTGGGACTGTGGACAGAGGTGTGGTAGGACAGTGGTCCCAGTTAGACTAGGTGATGCCCACTCTCTCCTGTGGCCCCACCTGGCCCCGCTCTGCACCCACCTGTATGATCTCCAGCTTCTTCTTGGTGGTTTCAATGAACTGAGCAATGGCCACATAGATGAACTTGTACTGCGCCTCTGTCTGCACCATGCCAGAGCGCTGTGCCCTCACCATTTGGATTGTCTTCTGGATGTCAATGTCACAGTCCAGCCCTGGGCAGGGATGATAGTAGGACCTCAGGCCTAGGCTAGAGGCCTGAGAGTTGTTGACCCCCTCCCACATGCACCCTCCCTACACGCCCACCCATGTCCCCCAGGGAAGCCTCACCCTTGGTAGAGATGCTCTCCATGAGCATGTCAATGACGATGATGGTGCCCGTGCGGCCAATGCCCGCGCTGCCAAAAGAAGGGGCCACCATCAGAGGCCCAGCCCGCCCCTCCCCAGGAAGTGGGGAGCCCAGGACTCAGCCCCAGTACTGGGCAGGGCGTAAAGATCCTAAGTCCCCAGCTATACAAGGTAATGTACCCAGGCCACTAGGCCAGCAAGGGTAGACCTATGCCCAGCTCTGCACCCATGGTCTAACCCAGCCACAGGATTTGTGGGCCAGGGCCTGGCTCTGGGGTGCTGGCTTCAGAGGCCTCCACAGTTTCCCTCCTTCCCAGCATTAAGATCCTCCATCTCCTTTTCTGATTCCTTACTTCTGATTGATGGCTGTTCCCTACCCATGGAAATCCAGGACCTCACATGCACCCTTGTCCCACCAGCTCCCCAGATACTCTGGGCCTCCCAATCCCCACTTTCAAGAGCTATGTTTGCACTGGTAATGTGGCTCAAGTGGTAGAGCACCTGCCTAGCAAGCACAAGACCTGAGTTCAAAGCTCAGTGATGAAGCCTACACTTAGCATGTGCAGGGCCCTAAGTTCCATCCCCAAAACCAAAAAAAAAAAAAAAAAAAAAAGTGACATTTGGCACTTCTTTCTGTGGAGCTTCATTTCCCTTTTTTTTCAAGCCCTGTAGCAGAGCAATGGCAGTCCTTGGACAGCAAAGTACTTGGCCCCTGGGGTCAGGAGACCTAGAAAGGCAATGCAGTAGGACATCTTCCTTCTCCCACACCCTCTGCCACCACCATTGAGCAAACAGACCCCATTCTGCCCACAGCTTGGCCCATCAGGCCAGTGCCCTCAGTTGAGCTGTCTAATTTCAACCCCAGATTGTCAAAAATAACCCCCCTCACCCACTTCCTTCCGGTAATGTCTAAATAAAGGACCTGGGGATTTCAAGAAACGTGTGAATGGGGTGTGGAGTGGGGGAGACAGGAGCAGGAGGGTAGTTCTTGGAGATGGGCCTGTCCCTGCAAGGGCAGAGAGCAGAGTATGGCCCCCCAAACAGCAAGGGGGGCACCTCCAGATTCAGTCTACCAGAGGCCCTGTTCCTGGACAAACAGTTGCTGATGGGAAGAAGGAGGAAGTCTGGGGCCCCCACAGGCTTGGGGTCACATGGAGGGAGTAGGAAGGGAAGAGGACAAAGCAGGTTCCTGTTTCCCCATTCCCTGTCTGATGTGAGTTACTAAACCACCAACAGCCCCTGTTTTGGGGCTTTTCATTGTTTTTTGGGGTTTTTTTTGAGGGTTTATAGTATTCCAGACATAGTGATAGGGTCTCATTTAATCCTCCTCACCACAACCTGCTGAGCCTGATTTTACAGATGAGACATCTGAGAGCCTAAGAAATTAAATAATTTGTCCAAGATCACAAGGCTGGTAGGGGAGGATCCAAATTTAAATAAGCAACTTCTGTCCAGGACCTGCTGTCACCCATCTGGCCCAGGCCAGGTCAGTTGGAGAAGCCCATTTGTGGGACCCCTGTTCCTCACTGCTGACCCCTTCCACCTTCAACTTCAGCAGGGACAGAGAACAGGGTCTCCTGACCATGAACATGAGGGTCTCCAGAGGAACCCAGGTACATATGCCCATCCCAATGACATCACTGGCCCCAACACTTCTCTAGGCACCTAGATGGGGGCACTGGCTGGGGAAGGAGATGAGGGAGCTATAAAAAAGCCTGGGCCACACAGAGCTACAAATGGAAAAAGAGGTAATGGAGCCAGCACTGGTCCAGATGAAATAAATGGCTGAATAGGACCAGGAGAGAAAACAGGGGAGCTTGATCTAGGTCAATTGCAATAGCCAGTCCAGTCTCTCCCACCTACTACTGATGAGCAGGAGAGTTTCAAACTCAGTCTCCTCATCTGTATCTGGCAGCGTAGACAAGATGGCTCCTCCAGGGAGGTCTCTGCAGAAGGCACACCAGGCCAAGGGCCAGCACAGCTAGTTCCAGCCAGGTCCACCCATGGGTCTGGAGCCATGAGGGAGCCCAGAAGAGTCTGGGGGTCAGGGGAAGGCACCAGACAAGTTGCTATGTAAGAGACTCACAGTAGCACATGGCACTTAGCACTATTTGCTTCTCAGCTATTTTTTTGTATTGTTTTGTTTTCATTGTACTGGGTTTGAACTCAGTACCTCATACTTGTGAGGAAGGTGCTGTACCACTTCAGCCACTCCACCAGCCCTTTTTAGTGTTGGGTATTTTCAAGATAGAGTCTCAAAAACCATTTTCGCCTGCTGGCTTCAAACTGTAATCCTCCTGATCTCTGCCTCCTGAGTAGCTAGGATTACAGGCATGAGTGACCAGTGTCCGGTTCAGCTGTTGTTTTATTACCACGATCACCATTGCTGTTACTCACCTACAGTGCACAATAATGGGCCCTGCATGAGGCAGACTTTCCTGCCGCTGGTTGATCTGGTCCAGGAAGCTCAAGACACCCCCGGGCTCGCTGGGGACCCCGTGGTCAGGCCAGCTCAGGTACTGGTAATGCCAGATCTCCCGAACCAGATTCGCCTGGGCCAAGGATATAGAGTCAGTGCTCTCTGCTCCTTAGCAACATCCCATTCTGCTTCATCCCACCTATCCAGATAAGAGAACAAGTCCAAGGAGGTGCTGGGAGCAGGGGAGTGGTCTGGGGACACTCACATTGTCCAGCGGGGAAACCTGTAGAGTACGGAGTTTGTATTCAGTGGTATCATGCTCTCCACAGTTGGCCACAGAGTAGGGACCGTAGACACGCTGAGTGCCCACCTCCGGCCAGTATGGTACACATTTGTTCTGAAAAGGGAGGGAGCAGGAATGAGGCACAGAAGCTGCACACTAGGGCTGCTCTAGGCCCTGCTCTAGGTCCTGAGTCCCCGGTGCTAGCCCAGACATTTGGTGGATGAGTGGATGAGCCAGCTGACAATCAAGAGACCTGGGATCAGGTCTCAGACCAGCCACCAACAGGTGGTAGACCTAACCTTATATCCTATTCAGTTGTAAGGTTGTAAGGACCTAAACTTACATCCCATTCATTGAAGCTGTGCAAACCAGGCTGGCTTACAAACACAAGCAAGGGTTGGGGATGGACACAGCTCAGTGGTGCCTGGCATGGGCCAAGTATAGTGGCCCATGCTTAGGAGGCAGAGACCAGGAAGATGGAGGTTTGAGGCTAGCCCAGGCAAAAAGTAAGCAAGATTCCACTCAATAAATAAGCCAGGTGTGGTGGTTCGTGCCTATAATTCCAGCTGCTTGGAAGTTGTAGGTAGGAGGATCACAGTCCAAGGCAGAACCCAGATAAAAACTCAAGATCCTATCAAAGAATAGCTAAAGCAAAAAAGGGATGGGGGTTAGGGGTAAGAGCATGGCTCAAGTGTAGAGTGCCTAACCACCAAGCAGGAAGGACTGAGTTCAAACTCCAGAGAGAGAGTTCAACATATGTAAGGGCCTGGGTTAGATCCCCAGCACCACAACCAATCAATCAATCAATAATCCAACTAAGACATCGTCTATGCCCTGGTGCCTCTAGGACATAGAGTAACACACAGAGAATCAGGCGAACAGGAGGAAAGAGCGTGTGCTCAGGAGCATGGCTGAGGAAGGGGTTTATTCTCCCTCTGGGTGATGGAGGCAATCCCAAGTGGCTTCTCAGAGGAGGTAGCATTTGAGCTGGGTCCTCCAAAACAGGGACCCAAGCAGAGACAGTGTGCAAGGAAAAAGTCACTTCATAGCAAAAATTGAGCTTGTGCCTTCAGGAACCAGAAAGATCCAGCCTTCTGGAGGCAGTGCATGCTATAGGGAGCATGGGGATGGACGGAAGCCACCAGTCTTGTATATCACATCTTCAAGAGTAACTTTATCCCACAGGCAACTGGGAGACATTGAAGGATTTTCAGAAAGGGAACAACTTGATCTGGTTTTTGATTTGGACACAATCAATAACTACAGCACAGAGGATGCTGAGGAAGGGGCAGCCTGCAGGGAAGGGTAGACTCCAGACAGGCTTGAGGCAGGGTGGACAAGATGGGCCAGGGAGGAGGAAGAGGCTCGGGGAAGGTTCGCCAGGGGGCACATTAAAGAAGGACAATTTTCTTTTTGGTAGCGCTGGGAATCAAACCCAGGGCCTTGTACATGCTAGGCCAAGCACTCCACCTCTGAGCCACCCTCAACCCCTAAGAAAAGCAGTTTAAAGCCTGAGTCTGTAGCTCAGGAGGGCCCCAGGTTAAAAGCAGGAGTCTGAGAGTCATAGCGTGTATACAGACTTTGTCTAGGGCCTCAGTTTCCCCACAGGCATTGGGCCCTTGCCCCACCCCAGGTCCCTTCCCACCCCAGCACCTGAACTTTCTTGGGTTTAGTGGTGGTGAACAAGTACTAAGAAAGGAGTTCAGGGATCAGGGAGGTGGCACGAGGCTCTGCCCTACCCGGCCTTTCTCCACCTCACGGGTGGTCATAACGATGACCCGGGTGTTCTCCTGCCAAACCATCTGCCAGAAGTCGTTGACTGTGGCCTCCAGACAGCCCTGGCTGGCAATGTAGGTCTTAGAGTTTTCAGGGTCTAGCAGCTGGTTCTGGATGCAAGCACAGAGAGATGCACCCCAGATTCACGAGCCCTTGTGTCAGGGATGGGCCTCATCACCTTCCCCTCCCCCATGGAGATGCCACCTCTGGCTTTGTCCAAGTGTCTCTGGACCCAGGGGCCCCCATGAAGCAGGGAGTTTCCAGGGCCCAGCCCCTGCCCCCACATGACTCATTCCCACCTTTACGTAGTTGGCATTGATGTAGTCGGACCCAGGGATGTTACTGTCACGCCCCTGCAGGATCACTCGGCTATGGTCAACTGGCATGGGCAGAGAGGAAGAATGATGGCTGAGGTCAGCAAGCACTACCACCCCCTAGGTCAGACCCCTCCCATTCTTTTCCAAAGTCATAGGCTCAGGGAGGACTGGAGGTGAGCAGGGGCAGATCTGTGTGGGAAGGGAATATAGGCTTCATAATCTGCCTGTTGGTTGTAGGGCGGCTCCTGGGAAGAGAAGAGGCTTCTTACATGAAGGCAGCTCTGCTCGGGGAAGGGGGCGGGAGGTGGACCCTCTTTAGGGACAGAGGTTGGCTGGGGTAGAGCAGTCTTTGGGATGAAGGGAAGGTGCCTGGACAACCGGGAGGGGCAGGGCTGCCAGGGCTCACAGGGGAGAATGTTCTTGTAGCGGTTCTTGCTCTTGTTCTCTGGCCTCTGCCCTTCCAGCCGCTGGTGCAAGTTCTTCACCTCCTGCTTCTGCAGACTCTGAGAGATGAGAGTGGAAATGAGCAATGGTCCACAGTGGACTTCATGGAGCAGATCAGTGTCAGAGGTAGGTGAAGAGTGCAAGGGGTCCGCCTGGGACCCCATGCAGTGGCCAACTGCCTCGGCTGTCAGCCCTGCTGGACCCCATCACATACCTCAAACTCCTCCCAGAAGCCGGCTTTGGCTGTTTCCTCTGACTCCTGCTTCTTATTCAGCTCCAAGACCCGGTTCTCAATGTCAGCCGCATTCACCCGAGTAGCATAGTAAGGCTAGGATGGGTAAAGGGCGGGAAGTCAGTAGCTGAGAGATCTCAGAAGCCTGTATCCATGGAGGGCTCAGGGGAAGGAAAAAGGCAGCCAGGCCCACCCCTCACCTGCCGCAGGTAGACAAAGGCGCCTGAGGCTTCCTCAATTCCTGTCTTCTTAAAATGCTCCACCAGGTCCGTGAGGCTGTCAAAGGTCTCCATGCCACCCACCGTGTAGCGTCCGCCCTGAGAGAAGCCAAGTAAGAACACCCCTCAGAGCCTGAGTCTTCCTCCCTGGACCCCCAGCCTTGGATCCAGGCTCAGCAGACCCTCCCCACAGCCCATGCTGAGCACACAAATGGGCACCCCATCTCAATGCCCTCAAAGCCTTACCTCACACATGATCTTGATGTGAGTGACCCTGAGTGGGGAGCCTGGGCCAGCCTTGGGCTGGTCGCTGAGCACAGATAGCACGAAATCTCCAGGCTGGCTGAGACTCTCACGCACAAGAAATGTCCAGGGTTCGCCCTTGGCCTGCAGCAGTGCCTCTGCTTGCCCTCCAGACATGTGGCCATGGTACCACCTACAAAAAGCAGCATTGGGGAGGGTGGGGGTAGGACCCCAGGAAAGGGACATTCACAGAGAAGGCAGGAGTTCAAGTGTCTGCTACAGGCCACGCTCTGAGCTAGAAGCTTTCAAATTCACCACTATATTTAGGCCCATTACTGTCTCACAAAAGCATTAAGAGGGAAAAATCCTGGTGTGGTTGTGCTGCATACCTGTAATCCCAGCTACTTGGGAGGGGAAGCAAGAGGATTATGAGTTCCAGACCAGCCTGGGCTGCATATATAACTTAACCTTTGAGACCCCCATCTCAAAAAAAAAAAAAAAAAGAATGCTGAGAGGTAGCTATTTTCTCCATTTTACAGATGAGAAATCTGACATTGAGCACTTTGCACACTGGCTCTAGGCCCTTGACTGATAGAAGGCAAGGCTGAGAGTTTTAACCATGGGAGTCAGAGCTATAGCTCAGTGGTTGAGCTGTGTAAGGCCTTGGGTTGCATGCCCAGCACCAAAATTATAAATAAATAAATAGATAAAAACAGGGGGCTGGAAGTGTGACTCAAGTGGTAAACACAACCCTGCGTTCAAACCCTCGTACTGCAAAAACAAAACACAACACAATACAAAAAGAGTTCTAACCAGGCTTTGAATTCAGAGACCACCTCTGTAACTTTAAGACAGACAGAAATCCAGGCAATATCCAGAATATTTGGAAAAATAAAACCAAGGAAGACTCCATGTCACACAGGCTTGGGCTAAGGAAAGGGAGCAGAGACAAAGAGAAATGCATACAGAACCCAAACACAGAGCAGTGGGAGAAAGGAACACCGGAAGCCAGGAGAAAGGGTGATGGGGAGAACTCCCCAAGGAGACAGGGAACACAAATACCCCACTGGAGAAAGAGTGGTTTAGGGGCTTTAGGGTGCCAGGATATCACTGCAGGGGAAGCCAGGACTTGAAGGGGCTCATGGGGCTCAAAGGGGCTGACAGGCAGAAAGCAGAACTAAGACCGTTCCACGAAGCACACCCCCTTCCCAGGAGGAAACTGTAACCCCACAATGCCCAGCCCCACAGGAAACCACGTGATGGAAAAAACACAAAACTCCTTCTGGGGAGAGAGTGAGAAGTGAGGTTGTGAGGTTTCCTCAGCCCAGGGACAGGGGAAGGGGGGCATTTTCCAACCGCAGGGATGGGGGAAGAAGGGAGGGGCCAGTCTGTCCCAAACCATCACCCCACCCAAAGGAGATTGCACCCAGAGCCCTCCCTCCTAAGCCCCCCTGGGCAACCCCAACCCACCCTCAGGGACGGACCAGGACCCCAGGCAATGAGGAGGGGGCTCAGCCCCTTCCCTCAGAGACAGGATGAGGAAGTCTCCATGCAAATGTGGGGCTGACCACAGGCAGAGAGCTCACCATCCATCTAAAGGACAAATGCAAATTCCTGCAGAAGAGGAGGGGTGACAGTCAAGGCCAAGGACACTCGAAGAAGTTTAGAGTGAGAGCTGCCCACATGCCACCAAGCTTAGGGGTGAGGCTGGGTTTCTTGATTCGGTAACCCAAAATGTCTCTCAGAGTCACTTCTCCTTAGCCTTCCCACCCCATTCTGCCCCCTTCCCTCCCTGGCTTCTCCCAAACTCTGTGAGGCCAGGCCTCAGCCTGCTCTCCTGGCCACCTGCTCAACTGCCTCTTCCTCCTCCAATCCCACATGCACAGTGCCACATTGCTTTCCTATGGGCTGGGTCAATCCAGGTCCTCCAGCAGGGCAAATCCTGGCTTGGGGAAGGGACAAAACAAGCACATGGGGGTGAAAGAGGGTCTGAGTGGCCAAACCACCATGAGTGTTATAGGTAGGAGGAAAGAAGAAGAAAGTGCTATGGAGTAAATTAAGGCAGCTATCCAAATTAAAAAAAAAAAAAATGAAGACAGTCATCCATTCTTGGCTTCACTACCAGAAGAGGAAGGGTCCAAGGAAGTAGATCAAAGACTTTGCATTGAGGAAAGAGGTCTCCAGAGGTGGGCCACAGGATTTCTACCTCAGTCTTATCCAGTTCTAAATTTTGATCCATGACTTGAACAAAAATAATTGACGCACATTTTCAGGCATGAATCTCAAAAAGACTAAAAACTGCTGGGGGAGCATGCAATACAGAATATGCTTGGCATGCATGAGGCCCTGGGCTCAAAAAAAAAAGAAAAAGACTGAAAACTGATAGGATCAAGGTTCAGAAGCATTTCAACAACTGAAACACAAACACAGGACAAGGGCAAATTGGCCTGGCCCCAGGAGTCCTTGTGAAAAACAAAAAACCCCTGGAGTTATTCCATCATAGGACCAAAACAATGTAACGAGGAGTCTCAGTATTCATTCTGCTCTCCTCACCCCCACCTTGAGGACACCCAAGTGTACCCAGTTACTACCGAGGGGCCGCAGCTTTGAAGCACTGAGAGTCACCTGTGTCAGAACAGAACTGGACCCTCTACACATGTGACTGCATCACACACTGTTTTCAGTGAACTGCGTTTGGGCCAAAAGACTGGTTAAGCTCTACCCAGCACCAAAAGATGGACCCATCCCCCTGGATTGCTGAGATAGGGCACAACTCATATAGCAGTGAATCCCAATAAGGGTCTTCCACATTGACACCTCATTGCCCTTAGCCATGCTGAGCTGGGCAGGGAGCTGTGGAAGGGCAGAGTCAGTTCCACAGCAGGAAGAGCTTTCTAGCAACAGAGTTGATCTACTGGGAAACACCAGCCATGAGGAATGGCCTCCCTGTCACTCATAGGACTGGGTCACCAGGTGGCAGGAGAAAGGCAAGATGGCTCTGTCTTGCTTCTTCAGGGAACAGGAGCCCAAGTTAGTCCTCAGAGTCACCAGGCTATGGAGGAAAGACACTCAGAGCCCTGAGCTGAAGTAGGGATGGGGAAGGGGCTGCAAGCAGCAGGCAATGCACCCAGGGGCTCACCTCCCTGAGGGGGAAGGCAGTGACCAGGCGTGCCACCCTCACCTCTCGCTGGTGGGGTCAGAGCAGTTCAGTGGGTACTTGAGGTAGATGATGGTGCCATCACGGTCCTGCAGGACGCCCTGCTGCTGTGTGTAGTACTCCACCAGCTCAGTCAGCGTGGCAAACTTCTCCCCTCCATACAGGTCGTAGAAGTCCCCTGTGTTCTGGATCCGAATGTGGGTCACCTGATCCTCTACCCTGCAGGGCACCAGGCAGGAAGACCAATGGATGCCAGAGCAGAGGTGGGGCAGGCTTGGGGCAGGGTGAGTGTCCTAAGTGTGGGCACACACCGGCAGGGAGTGACAAGGGCAGCAGTGGGGATATACTGGGGCCAAGGTAGGAGCATGGAGGAGGCAAGGGCCTGGGGTGTTCGCACTGCCATGGGGCAGCAGAATAAGCTGCCAGAGCACTGGGAAGGCCACCTACCTGACAGAGAGCGAGAAGTCACCCTGGTTCTTGCGACTGGGCCGAGCCAGGAAACTCCCATTTACACCCCGGCTCTTTAGCAGGGCCTCTGCATCCAGCCCACTGAGGTCCCGGTGAAACCACCTGAAGACACAGGCAGATGGTGAGGGTCTCCTGGTCCCCAGGGCACCCTGACCTTCTGCCTCCTGTGGGTCCCCAGCCCTTACCTCACCATCCTGGGCTCCCACAGAGGAAGGCACTCAGGGAATGAGGAGGCACAGCCTGTCTGGGCAGGTGGAAAACTCTGGGGCTGAGCCTCAACTGCAGCTCTCAGGGCCCAGGCCACCTGCCACCCCACCCGACAGTCCAGCTTCTGGGGCTGTCACTCCACTGGCCTAGGGCAGCCAGCAGGGCGGGGACAGGAAGGGGCGCGGCCGACCCCTTGGGGGAACTCACTTGTACTTCTTGTTTCAGAGCAGAGTAAGGGAAGAGAAGCAGAAGGGTGACAGGGGGTGGGGGAGGGGCCCCACTTCCCACACGGCTGCCATCAAAGGCCCAGGAGCCTGACACTGCACGTAAGTGACAACTCAAGAATCAGGAACACCATGTGTCTTGGATCTCCAGGCCAACATCATGTCCCATGTGTAAACCCCAATGTGGTCCCATGCCAATTCTTCCTCTACCAGGTGCTTCTACACATATTTCCCTAGTACAAGCTGATAATAATGACAGTGACAGCTATCATTTAATGAAGTGTCACTGCATGCCAGACACATTGCTACAGTGTCCTTTACATGCCTTGTGTGAGTTATTCCTCACCATAGCCCTATGACACAGGTTTATCTTTATCTCCAATTTACAGACAAGGAAACTGAGGCTCAGGAATTGCCTGAGGCCATACAGTTAGTAAATAGTGGTGCCAGGATTCAAACCCAGACAGCCTGATTCCAAAGCCAATTATTTGAGCTACTATCTACCAGCCCTCAGGGCCTCAAGGAACACAGATTGAAAAACTCTTGTCCAAAGGGATGACCATGATGGGGAGACTCCTTAACAGCATGACCTCACAGGCACCACACACCTGAAGAGATGCCACTATGGAAGGGAACCTACAAAATAAGCCCTGTACAGGCCTGTCAGATTTGGGCCCTAGGGGTCTGCCCTGCCTCTGGACTCCATGAGATAGCAGGAGAGCTATCTCATGGAGTTTCTGTATACACGATGCTCTGTGTATGTAATTCCAAATACAAATACAAACACTGCCAAGCCAAGACCAGAGGGAAGACATGCAACAGAGAACATAAGGAACTCCTATTGGTAGCTCCCTAGAAAGAGAGCCTAGATGGCTGGAGCACAGGCTGGAAGAGACCTAGGCATATACCTTTACTTTTTTTTTTTTTTTTTTTGGTGGTACTGAGGTTTGAACTCAGGGCCTCACACTTGTTAGGCAAGCACTCTACTATTTAAGCCACTCCACCAGTCTTTTTTGTGTTGAGTATTTTGGAGACAGGGTCTCTCAAACTATTTGCCTAGGCTGGCTTCCAACCACAATCCAAGCTCTTCCTAATCTCTACCTCCCCACTACCTCCCCACTAGCTAGGATTATAGGTGTGAGCCACCAAAGTCCAACCCCCTTACTTTTTTTTTTCAATGTGGTACTGGGGTTTGAACTCAGGCCTACACCTTCAGCCACTCCACCAGCCCTTTTTTGTGATTTTTTTTTTTTTTTTTTGAGATAGGGTCTTGTGAACTATTTGCCTGGGCTTACTTCAAATCTCAAACCTCCTGATCTCTGCCTCCTGAATAGCTAGGATTACAGGCATGAGCCACCAGCATATAGCCCCTTAAAACTTTCTGAATGTTGTTTGGGGATGCAGGTGTGGTTCACTGGTACAGTGCTTGCCTAGCAAGATTGAGGCCCTGGGCTCCATCCCCAGTACCAAAAACAATAAATTAATAAATAAGTGTGAAGTTAATCAGGTTGTACACTTAATAGTTATGCACATTATGTATGATATACATCAATTAAAAAATAAGAAAAATAAGGTGGGTGTGATGGCATCTGTAATCCTAGCTGCTCAGGAAGTGGAAAAAGAAGGATCATGGGTCAAGGTCAGTCAGGGCCAAAAGTTAGTAAGACTCCCATCTCAACCAACAACTGGGCATGGCGGTACTCCCAGCTATTTGGGAAGTTTAAATAGGATGATCAAGGTCCAGGGTGGCCCAGGCAAAAAACATGAGAAAGTTCTCCAAAAAAAACTAAAAATAAAAGCAAAATAACTAAAATCCCAAAAATAACCAAAGCAAAAAGGGCTGGAGCTATGTCTCAAGTGGTAGAGCATCTGCCTAGAAGTATGAGGCCTTTAGTTCAAACCCCAGTACTGCCACCCCCAAAAAAGAAAGCAAAAATGATAAGTAAATAAATAACAAAGAATGAAGGGTCAATAAGGCTGGGGATGTAGCTCAATGGTAGAGTACTTGCCTCACATGTATGAGGCCCTAAGTTGGATCCCCAGCACCACAAAAAAAAAAAAAAAAAAAAAAAGAGCTGCACACACAAACACAGCACACCACTTATACATACTGAGTCCCAACACAGCACCTCTGTGTCCATCCACACACACATGTGGTTGGTGCAAATCCCCAACATGGACATACAGCCCAGACCACACATGAAGTTCCAGCTGCTCTGCAACTTGGCCTCAGGACACTCTCCTTCCAGGGTTAAACCCACTTGCAGGCAGGTACCTGAATTAGGTACCTGAAATTCCTGACCCAAAAAAGAAGAAGGAATTTCTCTAAAAGATATCAAACCCAGAGACAGGCAACAAGTCAGATAACATGTAAAGTCCCTGCTGTCTATTGTCAGGAAAATAAACAATAACAGCCTCCCTTACCCTGGCTGATGCACTGCAGTTGGCAAAGCACTGGTAAATAACTATCCCATTTGGGTTGGCTTTGAATCTCTATCCTCCTGATCTCTGCCTCCTAAGTAGCTAGGATTACAGGCATGAACCACTGAAGCCTGGCTGGGAAATGTGACTTTATTCCTGTCTATCAGTTCATCAAATTGGAAAGTATTTAAGGACCTGATTCTTATGCAACACTCCTGGAAGTGTGTATGTGAATATATGTATATATTTACAACAAACTGACTACCATCACCATTGAAGGGAGGGATCACAGAGGAGAGCATTCACACTCTTCCCGTTTCTCATGTTACCAGCACTACTCACTCCTCAGGCCTGGCAGGTAACTCAGAACTGGGCCATGTCAATACAGAGGTGGGAGGGAATGTAAAAGTAGACCCAGAAGCACTTTTTCCTCATTTTTAAAGAAAAGAGTGGCTCTAGTGGTAGAGTGCCTGCCTAGCAAGTGAGAGACCCTGAGTTCAAACCCCAGTACCACCAAAATTAAATTAAATTAAAAAAAAAGAGTTCCAGGTCAAACTGGGTTACTCAGCAAGATCCCATCTCAAAAAAGTAAAAACAAATAAGGCAAAAAAAAAAATTGATAATGGAGTTATTCAGTAGGCTGAGGCAGGAGTTTAACTTGGACCCAGGAATTTGAGGCCAGGCTGGACAAGATGAGACCCCCATCTCAGAAAAAATAGGGTTTCAATATCAACCACTTTTATACTATACAGTCACTCTGTATGCATAGGTTTCACATCTGTGGGTTCCCCTACCTAAGAATCAAGAGCATTCTATAAGCATGTATGCAGACTGTTTTCCTTGTCATTATTCCCTCAGTAATACACAGTAACACACCATTTACATACCATTTACATTGTATTACATATTGTAAATACTCTAGAGATTATTTGAAATGTTCAGAAGGATGTTCATAGGTCACTTGCAAGTATCACACTATTTTATATAAGGCACAGTCCTCCATGAATACTGGAGAATGACTGAATTCTTACTTATTTTTATTTATTTTGACACTTACTATATAGCCCAGACTGGCCTGCAACTTGGGATCCTCCTGTCTCAGTCTCCAAAGTGGCGTGTGCACCCAGTCTGTCTGGGGCAACTATATTATTAATTCTCATGCCAATCCTATTGAACAGTTACTACCCTAATTTTAGAAACCAAAACTGACTTCGAGGTGTTAAGCAACTTGCCCAAAGTCACAAGTTAGTGAGTGGGAAGGTGAGTAAATCAAGGCCGTCTGAGTCCAGAGCCCTGTCTACCACTCCAACCACCCTGCTGCAAGAGGTTTCAGGGCAGATAGGGACAAGGCACAGCATGATGGAAATGGCAAAACAGGTGCCTTCCCCACCAGATGCACATGGACCATGGACCACAGAATTCACGTGAGCTGTCTGGTGTGAGCAGGGTGATGTGACTGAGAGGCTGGGACCCAGTTGTAGAAGGTCTTAGAAGTCTGAGGAACCAAGAGAAGGTTCTGCACCAGGAGAGGCCTTGTTAAGCTGCCTGGTGAGACAATAACCATGGCAGGAATGTGGAAGGGCTCAGGGACCAGAAGACTAAGAACCCATACACAGGGCTGACAGTGACACGGTATACACTGGGGAAAAGAGTACAAACAGAAAGGAAGGAACATGTATAGTGTGAGAAGCAAGAGTCAGCAGGACTGGGGCAACCAACTCTCTAAGCAGTTTTCACTTAAAATATTCAAACTCCATCAAGGTGGAACTTGCCCTGGCCCTGCTTCCTCTCCTTCTGTTGCAGGCCCAATGTCCTTTTCCTATTTGTTCCACATCACAGCTTTCCATGAGCTGTGTCCTCTGCCTGGGGTGGTGTCAGATGATGCCTGAGCATCACAGGGCTGGCTCCAATGTCACCTCCTCAGGAAGCCCTCCCTGGCTTCTCTGCTAGCAATGTCACCAGCACCCTGTCACTAGTTGGCAGCTCACAATGCTGTTTCTTTTTCTGCATAACCCTTTTTTTTTCGTGTTTTTTAAAAATGTTATCATTTTTACATTTACTTACATTCATATACATTGTTTGGGCCACCTCCTCCCCTTCCCCCCCATAACACTTCTGATTATGGAATAATCCTATTTATTTGGGCTTTTTGTTTTGTTTTGGTTTTGCAGTACTGGAATTTGAACTTGGGGCCTTACACTTGCTAAACAAGCACTTTTACCAGTTGAGCCATCCCCTTCCCCAGCCCTTACTGGGCTTTTTGTTCAGCTTGTCACTTCACACAAGGACTGTCAGTTTTGTGAGAGCAGAGAACAGGTCTGCCTTATTTGCTCCAGTATTATAGTATCTTAAAACATTCCTGGCACACAGTAGATGTAACGTGTGCCTGTTAAATGAATGATGCAGGGAGGCAGCTGGGAATGGTGTGTCTTTCAGACTGTCATGTTTGAGGTGATGTAAGTAACCCAAGGGGAAAGGCAGAAGCAGGGGACCAAAGACTGGAGGTAGAAATGCAATAGTGAGAAAAAAATACACATCTGTCAGGGAAAAAGTATGAAAGGAAAAGGAGGTAGAGGGGCATGAATGTGCCTGGGGGTCCTCACATTTCCTCGGGAGGAGAAAGTCCATAGGGACAGGAAGTAGACCCAGGACAGGGGGTAGCAGCAGGTTGTCCTCATGGTCACACACCTGTTAGGAGTAAGCATGAACAATGCCCCTCCCTCCCAAGCTAACAGGAGACGGTGAGACCCAGACGGTGTAGGGGACTTACCCACAGGATAGCATCTCCCTGGGGGAAGGGGGTATCACAGGCAGAGAGCCACAGGGGGCGGAGCGAGGGCAGTGGCACAGCTGTGCACAGTAGTCCAAGCAATAATGAAGAACGTTCCTGATCTCAGCCACTTCCTCCTCAATCCAGCCTTCCAGGCCAATGGCACTGCAAGGACAAGCCCCTGGACAAATGATCTTCAGGGAAAGGACAGGTGGGGCGGGGCTGACCTGAGACCGCCCACAGCAGCCTGCTTCCCTTGGCGCCCACTGCAGTCCAGCAGGCCCCAGCCTGTCCAGGGCCTGTGTCTCTTGAGAGGGGAGGAGCCACCTGCTGCTCCACCTGGAGCTCAAGCTGACTGAGCAGCAGCTGGGCCGGTAGGGGCAAAGACCAGGAAGTAACCCTGGCCAACCAGACTGCTCAGTCCATAGAAACCAAGGGGACAGCCCTGGACACCCACTCCTCAAAAAAGGAGGTGCCACCTGTGCACTCATAGGGTGTTGAACGCTGGTCTAGTCTCTCACTTGCCCTAAGGGGAGAGGAGGAGCCTGGGGCCCTCACCCGAGCAGGGCTGGACTCAGAAAAGTATAGAAAGGGCTTGGACAAGAGGGTGGGCAACCTGAAAGGTAGACGGAATCTGGAGTTGGATATGGGGATTGTTCAGATCACAAAAGACTGACACCAACACTAAGTCACAGGCACATTTATTGTCCTGTAGTGCACCAAGGTCTTCCATTTCCCGGCAGTAACATAGGAGAAGGACAATTTCAAGAGGCGGCCACGCTGCCACCAGAAGCAGGCCCATGAGGTGGCAGGGTCATGGGTGGCAGGAAGAGAGCCTTCAGCTTGCCTGACAGGCTGGCAATCTCAGGATCCTGAGCTTCATAGGACTTGACCAAACGGGCAAACTTAAGGACACCTGCAAGAGGGAATGGAGAGTTAACACACACTCTGGAGGACCAGCGAGCCAAGGCAGCTGGAGGGTGTGGCATGTGTATGAGATATGGGCTGATCTCTCTGACCAGGTAGCCATCTGCAGAACAGGACACATTCCAAGCTCTATCCATTGTGGCTTAGCTCTCCACTTCCCGGTTTACACCAGGCACAAACGGAGTGAATGAAAATGTCCCAAAGCAAAGTGTTTTTCACTCTCAAGTGAACCCCAAGTATGAACATCCATGAGATCCCAGCTATAATCAGGACAGAGGAAGGCTGTTGACAGCTGGGCTGAATCAGTAAACATCCTTAAGAAACACTGTGATCTCACAAAGGAAACTCAACCTCCAACCCTTCAACAAACTCTCAAACACCTTGCAGGAACTGCAGAAGCATCCTGTCATGCAGACATCTCCCTAAAAACTAGCCGATTGGGGTTCAAGTCCTGGGCACTTCTAACTTCAGGCATTCACTTTACTAATAAAGTTCGTTCCCACATCATAATATGAAATAATAGTGTGATTAATGGCAACTACGAAATGCATTTAGGACGTCGCTGGCAAAAGTTCAGGGTACGTCCTGGGTTCTGGGTGCCAATACTGTTAGATTGTGGCTGCCGCCGTGCGGCGAGAAAGAGGACGACGGCTCAGTGCCCCTCTTCTCCCCCCTTATCCACGAAGTCGCCACCCCGTATCCAACCCACCTTCCCCGTCGCAGCTGAAGCCATAGGCTTTGATAACTTCCTGCTGGATCTGCGTGGCCACGGGCAGCACGAATTGCAACATCTTGCCCATGTCGTTGCACGCATTGTCTCTAGCTTCGTCCATGCGCACGGCGTTCTCCGGGGCTGAGAAAGCCTGAATTACCTCCGCCAAGACCACTGCCAGCCAGACATCCCAGAAAGGCATCCCCTCGGTAGGCGTCCGGAGCTCCACCAGCGGGCCCAGAGGATAGCGAGGGGAAGAGGGAAGGGAATTAGTGGACTGAGGCCGTAGGTAACTCGATAAACTCACTCTCCCAATCCCTCGCTCTGCGGCGACAAGGGTGCCACGTAGAACAAGGGAAAGGGATGGTACGCCGCCCCCTCCGCCCAGGTTCCTTGGCTGGTCTCCTGCCCTGCATCCTCCCCCGGCAGGCAGTCCATTCCTGGACCATACTTCTCACCCTTGGCCTGCTCCGCGCTCAGGGCCGCGGGTTGGACTGAGGCGGACGCCATAGAACGACAGAGGATGCACGTGTAGCGGAAATACAAAAAGATCTAAAGGAACACGCCACCTCCTACAGCAATTCCCACTGCCTGGGGACGCGAAGGGGAAGCAGCATCAGCACTAGCCGGAAGTTTCCCAACGTAACCGCAACCTCCACATCTTAAAAAAACAAAGTGTTAAATCACGCTGCAAGTGAAAATGGACCTCTATTGTTCAGTACAACTTGAACTGGGGTGGGTTTTCCGGCACAAGCCAGAAAACCTGCTGGACAAATTCTAAAAGAGCTGTGACACTTACGGAAGGCACCATGCAGCAAACATGGAATATACATGAACTCCGCTATTAGTGAGGGTGAGATCAGAGTGGTGGTTCCCCAACTCCCACGACTATATAAGTAACAAGGGACACTGTAATGACCTGTTGGATTAACACTATTCTAAGGAACTTAATGAAATCATTCGTTTCTAGAGTTTACAAACCTTTGATACTGGCTATGCAAATGACCTAATGCCGATTGGCTGACAAAGCAGCCAATCACAGACCTTTCGTTGTTAAGGACGAAGACAGTGATTCGCAGCAATAAAAGCCCGGAGCAAGGACCGTTGAGCTCTTTCCTAAAATGGCTTTGTATAGTGTTGCTGTGTGACGTCTTGTATTGTTATCCTTACAGGAGTTTGAAATTGCCGCCCACTCCCTCTTCGAATCGTAATGTAGTTAAGAATGCCAGGTACTAATCGCACTGGCCTACAGAAGCCACGCCCATCCCATCCACTCCCTCCCCCACCCCATTCATAATCTTTTCTCAAACTATTGTACAGAAAGATTCAGGCCTCTTTAGTCCTTGTTCCAGGTACTCTGGTGGCATCTAATAGGAACTGTAACAGTACGCTCCCAAGGTCTTCATAGTTTTTAGACCTGGCCACGCCGACGGTGGGACTGTCCCAGGCCTCCAGTAGGGCCTTGGGAGAGATGGAAGGCCCAGCCTGAGTGTACCCTTGCCAGGAGAGGTGAGCATCCAGGATCTTTTGAGGTCTCCCGTCCAACTCCTCACGGTCGTTACACCAACTTGCTTAAGATCCCATCCCTTCCGACCTCCCTGCTGCGATGAGATCCCACACCCCCCAGCCCCAGCAGCCCACAAAAAACAAGTCACAGCCATCTTCCTGGGGAGTCGTGAGGATGTTTTTTGTTTGGTTTTGGTTGGGATGTTTTTTAAAGAGCATCATATAGATATTTATATATATAAATTATTAATGTGGGGAGGGCAAGGGGCATACATCGCATAGGAAGCGCGCACACAGGGATTGGGCAGGGGCAGGGGTGGCACACGATGCTACGCAAAACAGCCACATCTAACAGATGAAATAATCACACCAACGGGCTGGGGGAGGGGTGGTGGCCACTGAGGGTTGGGCATAGGGGAGGAGGAAAGCAGGGGACAAGGAAGAGGGACCTGGTCCATGATACTATGCGCTTTCTGTCCCCACCCTATGTGCCACCTCCCCACCTCTGCACACCACAGCTGGCCTTGACCTTCTGTCCCTTTTTCCCTCCCTCCCTCTGCCCAGTTGCAGAGGCCCTGCAATTGAGCAGCACCCTCTTCTTGGCTCTGGGTGGCAGACTAGGAAGGGGTCCTCCAAGGTCCGGATGCTGGAGCCATGGGTGCTCTTTTGATTGTAGGTTCTACAGCGGCTTGTCACTTTCCTTCTTCAGGTGACTAGGGAAGGGGCAGTGCATGGCAGAGATGAGAGTGACCTTGCTTGCCCTTTTCACATAAGAGGATGTGGAAGAAGTTCCTTCCCCCCAGGTGCCTAGGGGCCTGCTGTACCATGCCCACATCCCATCCCAGGCTGGGTGGACCCACATCCAGTTACTCTTAGTCTGGTGCATCCCTTAGTACCTGTAGTAGTCCTCCTGGGCGGGTAGCGGCACGCTGTGCAGCGGGTGATGGGCGTGCAGCCATTGCTGTTGTTCCAGCGCCAAGCGCTGCAGCTCAGCGGACTGCGCGTGCATGGCCTGCAGCTGATGAGCTGCTGACATCGGGGCAGAGAGAGAGGCTGGCAGATCCCGGTAAGGGGCAGCTGTGAGCAGGAAGGGTAGGGGCACATGACTGATAGATACTGAGCACCTGCTCTTGGCCAGGGGATAAGCCAGCCACTTTGAATACAGAGGAAGCTAAAAGTAAGAAGTTTGGTAACATCGCCTGTCCTGAAAGCTGCCAGTGGCAGAGTGAAATTAGGAGTCAAAACTCTCAACCTCACATATGAATAATAATAATAATAATAATAATAAACTCTCAACCTGGCCCCCCAAACCTAAGCCTCTCTTGGGCAGGACCTCAGTTCTATTGTTCCTATCCTATCCTGGGTCCTCATCCCTCCCCAAGTCCCACTAGACCCATTCCACCACCTAAACTCCCCCTTTCTGTCCTCTCATTAGAGCTTCTCCACCCCAGCCTCCATCCTTACCAAAGAGCTGGTGACGAAGAACTTCGTTCTCGTGCAGAGGGTGAGGAAGAAGGGGGTTAGGGAGGGTCCCAGCTGGGTAAGGGATCCGGGTAAGGTGAGACCCTGAGGCCAGGGGGTCAATGAGAGGGTGCACCGAGGCAGAGGCTGGAGGCAGAGAAGAGGAAGGTGTCACTAGAAGGCAGTCTTAGGGAAAACTGCATTTCTGGAAAGAAGCCTGGGAAGGAAGAGACATGGACAAACACAGAGAATCTGAAGTGGAACAAAGGCAGAGGGAGAGAGCTAGACACCCGGAGGATGGACAGAAAGAGACCCAACTGCAGTAGGGACACAAGAATGACAAAGGCCAGGAGATTGCCAGGGGACTGAGGAGAAGGGATGGGAGATAATAGAAGTTTAGGAAACGACACAGGAAGAAATGGAGAGATTAAGAGAGAGAAGGTACAAGGAAGTCCAGAATGAGCGGAGTAAAAGGCAGTAAGAAATATGGTAAGAGGCAAAGCTCATTATCATCTTGGATTCCCAAACCCAAAACTACAGCGCTTTTTCTAGAAGATTCCAAATCTACAGGTGGAGGAATAAGAACATGTGAAGGGCCTGGGGAAAGGGATGTGGGGATAGGAACTGTGTCCCTTCAGAAAGCTCTTGCTTGGGCCTCTTTCAGGAGTGGGATGCTAGACTATGGGGGCTGAAGTGTGGGGAACATAGGCTCTCTGGCTAGGCAAGGGCATGAGATACTCTCGTAGAACGGCAGGGAAGAAAAGACCAGGTAAGCAATCTCAGCAGAGGTTGGGACCAAGAGGGAACTCCAGGCTTAAGGGACCGAAGTACCCAATCGTGTCAGGGGGCCCCAAAAGGCCACAGCAAGGAAATAGGGGTCTCACCTGCATGAATGGCATCCTGTTGGTGCAGGTGAAGATGAGAGTGGATGTGGGAGTGCTGGTGGTGATGGGGGGTCACATTGAGCATCTGCAGCCGAGCCAGTGGGTCATTGCCCAGAGCTGCCACCCTTTCTGCATGTTGCCTCTCAGCCGCCAGCCTCTCGGCATAGGACATGTCAGGCCGCAGGGCTGGCCCAGCTGCCAGCGCTAGACGTTCTCGTTCCAGGGGCCCCAAGCTTGGATGGAAAGGAAAAGGGTGCAGGCCAGGTGGGCCAGGCTGCAAAGCCAGGCCCCCATGTCGGGGGAAGGGATCCAGGCCTGGTCCAGGGACCCCATGTAAGGGTTCCAGCTCACTAGGCTTCACCTCGAAGCCAGGCTTGAGACGGTCACGGAGATCTCGTTCTCGGGCTTCCCGCTCCCTCTCCCGGGCGGCTGGGTCACTGCTGTACAGGGCCGGGACATTATAACCCAGGAGCCCCGGGTCCACTGCACCCAGGGGTACATAGAATGGATGGTTGCGATTGCCAGGAGACATGACATGAGGTCGAGCATATTCACTGAGAGTGCGCAGAGCTGGAGTGTCAGGACCCAGATAGGGGGGCACTGTAGCCACCGCACTGCCAGGCTCAAATGGAGGGCGATGAGGCACTGGACCCAGAGATGGACACTCCACTGGAGCACGACCCTCCTGCGCCAACTTCTGTGGAGTGCAGGAAGAAGTGGAGTCAGAATGCCAACTGGGGGAACAGTTGACTGGTCCCAAGCTGCCCATCGGCTTCAGCAAATGAATTCCAAAATGCCTCACCCATTAGGACTCTGCTTCCCAGGAACTTCTTTTTCCCCTCCCCTCCATACTTCCCCTTCTCTGATTCACAGGTCGTCGATCTGAACATACTTCTCTAACCCAAGAAATGCAAACTGCTCCAGCCCTTATCCACTAGGTCTCCAATTTCTGGACTGCAGTACTTCCTCCTTTCCGATAGAGGGCAAAGTGATTTCCCACCCCATCCCCGAAGCCCCGCTGGGCAGCGCAAAGGAGGTAGGGAAAGAAAGGCGGTGGCGCATATCATGACGCACTCACCACGCTGCGTTCCAGCTCGCGCTCTTTCTCGCGCTCGCGCTCCTTCTCACGTTCCCGCTCGCGCTCTCGCTCCTTTTCTTCGCGCGCGCGCTGCTCGGCCTCGCGCCGCACCTTCTCCACCAGGTCCGCGCGCTTCTTAGCCAGCTTGGAGCCCTCCAGCGGCACGAAGTACAAGTCGCTGCGCGCGCACGAGTTGAAGCCGCGGTCCAGGTGTTTGTTGAACCTGCGGGCCGCAGAGGCAGCGTGTGCTCAATCCCTGTGAGCTGCCCAAGCAGCGGCCCCACGGCCACCCTGCCCTGGCCTCAAAAGCTGCCCCGGCAGCCTGTGAGCTGACGCCCACCTGGCAGGCAGGAGGGCCGCACGAGGGCAAAGGGGTATGCTGGGTACTTCTAATTAATCATCCTCATGAACGCAAGGCCCCAGCCATTTCCAAACAACCCTTCCCCCAACCCACCCCGTCACTCTGGCTGTCCCTCCAGTCCCACCCGTATTCCCACCTTGACTGCTTACCTGGCAGACTGACTGGCATGGCTGGGCACATCTACCACCTTGGGAGGGGGCGAGGGGCTGCGAGCCGGGGGCACCGGACTCTCAGGGGTCTCATACTCCTCAGCTGGCTCCTGTTTGATCTGCGTGGCGTTTAGGGGTGGCCCTGAGGCAGGGGCCGCAGGTGGTGGAGGCAGAGACGACAGACTTGAAGATGTCGGCCCTGCAGGTGGCAGGGGCCCGGGCCCCACTGTGGGTGAACCCGGCTTGAAGGTCCCTGGGCCTGCTGGCGGGGAGGCACCTCGATAGCCCGGTGGGGTCCCTGTCCTGAAGGAGGGTGGCGAACCCGGCTTGTATCCGGGCGGGGTGGCTGTCTTGTAGGGCCCTGGAGACGGGGCTCTCTTGCTGTACGGTGGGGGCCCAGGTGGGGAGGCCGTTTTGTAGCCTGCTGGCGAGGAAGCCACAGTGGCAATGACCGTGGAAAGGGTA